GCTTTCAGCCAAACTAGGCAGGCTGTTCCCCATTTCTTTTTGCTACACAACACAAATGGAAGTGAAGTCCCAAGATGCTGCACTTTTCCCATGTGGCTCAAATTAGATGGAATTTCCTCTCAGCACTGATTTTCCATGAAATTCCATTTTAATTTTTCTATAATAAACAACAAATGTAAGATCTTCTTGCCCATTAAGTCTGAAGTTTTGTAGGAAGCTGTTAAACATGCAAAGTTAAGATTCCTTCACACACACACTCACAGATTACTCATTTTGCCAGTGTTTTGTGTAGCATAAAGGAAGGGTTCTACAGTATGTGGGACTTCCTGTTTGTGACACACTTTTCCTATTGTCTATGATATCCTCCTGATTTCCTGACAGCCCGTGCTGAGTGATAATTTCAGTATTTAAAAGAACCTTTAAAAGAGCTTCCTTTAATGATGAAACACTCACTCTCCATAGATACTTAGTGAAATATTTAAGCCGTTTGATTGTTCAGTTTCGTTTTGTGTGGCTTAGTTATGAAATATGCATTTAATGCCACAAAGATTTCAAAGCACCAATGCACATGGGTATCGTTTACTGGTAATCTACATAACTGAGGAGCTTTTTTCCCCAGTTTTGTAAGATGCCTTTGTAGGAAAGTGTGTAAAATAAAAATATTCATGCTTCTTTTCTTCTCTTTTCTACTTTCTCCAGATCCATATGTAACTACAGCAAGAGGTCTGTAGCTCATATTTCATTGCATGCATAAACCGATTACGATACCAGCACCATTCAGCTGGTACTGAACTGAGGCCTCCCCCCCAGTCACTCAACCTTGCCGCCAAGCGGCGCTCTGAAAGTTAAACTCCTCACTAGTCAACAGACAACTAACTCCCTCATCTGGGGAGATGCCAGCCCTACAACATCACTTCTGAATCCTACAGTGGCTTTAATTAGATCAAGGCAATATAACACAAACCACTGAAAAGTGCCAGCTTCAATTAAAAGGAGTTCAAGGGTCTGCTGGCTCTTATCGAAAGAGAGTGACATATGTGTTTGACACGCCTGCAGTCCATGGTTTCACGCTTGAGTTAATGGTGCCGCAAAGCAAGAGGAAAGCCTCATTCATCAAGAAGCAAACTGAACTACAAAGTGGAGGTCTCTTTCTAGAAGAGGCTGTACAAATAAGAGGCAAAGCTAAATGGAACCATCACTAAATGACACAGCTTTACCAACAGCAGCAAAAAATGGTAAGAGTTCAGTTGTTTTAGTAATGTCAGATAGAACGTTTATCAGCAGGAAATTTGTCTCTGCATCTGCTCTAACGGCAGAAGACAGTAAATACAGTTCCCCATAGTTGAAGCTTAATGCGGGTATCTGGGTTCTTTCCACAGTTGTGCCACCTCAAAACCACACTGATTAACTGGAATGGGACTCCTTGTCTTCTCTTACAGACACTTTGACAGCCAAACAGACCGGTCACAGCTGGGAGTTCTTCGTGGCCGTCCTCGTCGCAGCCATCTTGGTCACTGTTATTATTGCCATTATGGTTAAATATCAGGTGTTTCGGCGCTTCCTGGCGAGCTACAGACACACGCGGCTGAGGGAGAGTGATTCTATTAGCCACTGTGACCCATCAGGTTTGCTTTTTATGAATTCAATTTTAGAGATTACTGCATGCTGACATTTGTTTGTATTTTCAAAACCGAAAGCCGAGCCAATGCCCAGAGTACATTTAACATCTATAAATTCATGCAACAGATTGGATAAGAAAGCATTACACAAGAAAAATAGCAATATGAAAAAAGTGTACTTGTGCTCATAGTGTGCTTTGTCACAGCCTAAAGCATTTTTTTTTAAATCAACAATAGACCAAAAGATTATGTGTATGATGAATGACAGGAATTATAGGCTACCTCTGCAGTTAGTGTTAGCGCTACAGTGGTTTCCAGCTCATTGTCTTTGTTTTCCGGCCCTGCTGCTTGTGGACAAAATAAACAACCAGCTCCTGTAGATGGTCAGAAATTAAAAGCAGATAAAAACAGAAGCAGTCCTTAGAAGCTGGGGGAGACCAAAACGCAGCACAACAATGACTAAATATCTGAGTTTAAAAAGACAAAAACACTACTGGAGATCAGTGTCCAGTGCTGTGTTCACAGTGCATTGAACTGCCTCCAAGTGGAAATGAAAATATCATCTAAGCCAATGAACACATAACAACACGGCAACAATTAATTTTTGTACTTCGGATGCCATGTCCTGGCAAATAGCTTGCATAATGTTTCCAAAAATGAGAAATGCTGACTTACAGTTGAAGCAAAACCAGACTGCACAATTATCTTTTGAAAATCTTTTATTAGGCTTTTATTAGGCTGCAGGAGATCTTCTGTTTAGAAGAACTGTGTCTTTAAGAGCTAATACAGCAATTAAGAGCTCATAGAAATTGATACCTCAAATCCAAAGCCGTCTGCGCTCTGTTGACTTACTCGGCGAGTCTTTTTATATTTGCAAATGCTGATAACATGGTTGGACAGAATGACTTACTGGACTTGGTTTCTAATGATTCTTGGCTGTGGGTTTTTTTATTTGCTCTCTTCTTCTTTTCTCATTGTTTTCAGGCCTGGAAGTGGGGTTTACCATGCATGGAGGACGTGGAATGCATCCTCACTGTATGCCTCCAGTGAGCGAGGAGGATGACGACGGCTTCATTGAGGACAACTATATCCCGACAAGTGAGAGACAGAGGGCCGAGAGAGCGGCCGAGAACATAGAAGAGGACACGGAGGAAGAGATTTATGACAGTGAGTTTAGCATTGGTTAGAAGGGATGTCTCCACACCTTCTGAACCACTGTTCTGGTATTTGGGCCAGAAGTGAGCTATCCGTTTCACTCCATCTGATCCTTTTCCATGGGTTTTCATAGTTTCTATCTCAAAAACTGATCCTTGGTTAACAACTGATTAGATGCATAAAGATAAAAAAAAAATCCATTATTTCTGGAGAGCTTGGAAAGGAATATCCTGATGTCAAGCGCATTATCATGGCAGTAGTTCTCAGTGTGGGAGAACATTTCAACATGTTCTTATGAGAATAGGCTTGCGTTAAAAACACATATCATGGAAACTGCTGGATTTTTGAAAATGTACTTGAACAAATCTCCCATTAAAAAAATAAGTAAATTTTGTTTAAAAACAAAACAAAACAAAACAAAACAAAATGTAAGTATACCTTTAAAAAAAAACGTAGGTACACCTTTTTAAAAAGGGAAATACACCTTTGTTTTTGTTTTGTTTTTTTGTAAAAAAAAAAAAAAGGAAGTATACCCTGTTTAAAAAAAAGAAAAATAGGAAGTACGCCTTCAGCTTCAAAAGCTACTATTTTTCCTGTTAGCAGGGATAGCCAGTCTCTGATATCAGCTTCATACGATTTTCTTGATCACTTGTCCTTTCAAAATTCTCAATTACCTCAGCATCATTTCAAAGATTTTTTCCCCCATTCCAGAACTCCGTTTATTTCTCTTCATTGGTATATTTGAGAGTGTGCTGAGTTCTATTCCCCCTTTACTCTAATGGCCTCAGGTCATAGCTGAATCAGTGACTGATTAGTGACAAGCTGCCTAATTTGTTAGGCCTTAGTGTAACACAGTATAGATGTACAGCTTCCTCTCACGCCTCTCATGCAAAGCTGCATTTGGTGTGGGAAACATAGCTAAGCCAGTTTTTTAGCTGATTAACTGATTACTTGATTTGATAGCACGGATTATTAATTAATTAATCGTATGCCGACGCATAGCCATAGTTAAGTAAGACTGACAACAAGAGCATACATTGCTTTGCTCAGTGAGAGTACTTTAAGTACCATGTACTGTACAACACTTGCACCGTTTTCTTTTAAAATGTTTTTTCTGACTTTCATTGTAATAATTGTATGGTTTTGGATGTTGCCTTACAAGAAAATTACAAGAGTCATATCATTCATTTGTGCTGTTACGGTACATTATTATTATTATTATTATTATTATTATTATTTTTAATCTGCCACAGTCAGTTTTTTTAAATTAAATTGTACTGCAGCTCACATATATCATAAGCAGTACTTGCAGTTACTTTTCAACCTTTTGAATCCTGTTTTTAAGAAACTGCACTGAGATGTGTACACAAAGTCAGCTAGACCTCAATAAATATCTACCTGTAAGTGAAACCCTTGCTGCATTGTCATGTATTTTCAACTGAAATCTGTCGGGGTTATTTCTGAGGGCTATTTCTCCACCATTAATTTGTGTATTTTGCTTGTCTCACTGGACACAGAATGGAATCATTACACTCACCTGTCCATTTAAACTTTGCGACGATGCTATAAACAACCATAATAACGCCTGAAAGTGCGCCTCGAGCAGAGGCCTGCAGCGCTTCGGATCCCAGGAGACGACGCCGATGATGAGAGGGGCTGACAGGTCTGTGAAGCTGTCAGCCGAGGCACCCGGAAACACGGCGTGTAAAGTTGACACCGAAACCGGAAAAAGACGATCTCGCCTTCAAAATAAATGGATAATTGAACGTTGTTTGCTATGATGGGTGTGTCTCATGTCTTAGAAACCCCCCACCCACGCACCCATCACTACCATGCCAAAAATCAAGAAAAAATAATGACTAAATAATACTTATAATAATATTACCACTCCCATTAATCATCACTTTTCCTTTCATTCAGAAAAGGTTAAGCTTATTTTTTACGCTGTTTAATCTATAGATATAGATCGTCTTAATGTCACAGTAATGTAAATCAGATGGCAGCCTATTCCTGCAAAATTATTGTGGGCTGTGGGAGTAGAAAAAACGAAACCATTAATATTTTTAAAGTAATGTGCCACTGAATGTATTATTTATGAAGAACAGAAACATTAAAATATGATTTGCTTAAGGTATTTGGAGTTATTTATTTAAAAAGAAAATAGCCGGAAGTCGTATTTCCGTGACAGTAGCTAGCTTGATGCTACGATCCGGAAAAGCAGCGAGTTGCAGCGCAACGCGTTGACTGTACAGTGTGGAGGAGAGGAGGAACGAGGATGATGGGAGCGAATCGTATTCCACTCAAGTGACCCATATCTTACAGTAGACCCAGATATTATTTAGCCTACTTCTTGTTCTCGAGGATTTTTCTCCGTGAAGATGTCGGCGTCAGCGATATTTATCCTGGACCTGAAGGGAAAGGTAAGTTTGTGGCGACTTGTTGGTGAGGAAGTTGACATTATCAACGCAGCACCTGCCTCAAGATAGTCAGTTTGCCAAGAAAGTCGCACAGGATATTTTCATTTTTATTGGCGTAATCTGCAGCTGTACATCACATGCCGCATACACTTTTCTTTGTCGAAAACTCTTTGCTAATTTAACTCTGAACCACCCGTACAGAGCAGACAGGAAGAAGCTCAACTTGTCAAACTCGTTTCACCAATGTTCAGTATACACAGAGGGCTTGTTCTTGTGCAGCGATGCAGCCTTTATTGTACGTGATGTGTCCTATTTTGAGGTCTAAAACTTTACCTTGGGCAGCCCTTACATGCCATGCAATAAACCGTACAGTGGTTAGTTTAAAATAATGGGGATATGTGTGTGGACATGAGGATGACATACATTAGAAATACATCTTAAGAGACAAACTCAAGTGAAATGCTTGAGGGTTAGTGATCTCAAGGTGAAAATGTCATTTATTTGTAAATTTGTACTCATCAGTTAATTTAGCTGGGTGCCTTACAAAAAATCTGCAGTCCTAAAAGTAAGGATTTGTCACTTTTATGTATTTCATGAATACTTATTTGATATTATTATTATTACATAACCTTAATCAGTCCAATCTAATAATTTCAACCATAAATGTCATAAAAAGCAACTACCCACAGCAAAATGTGATGTTTTTAGTTGATCTAGTTTGTTTGGGTAGCTTACAAATCCATCACTGTTTTGGTTTGCTCTCGTAAAAGCCTGAGAAAACCTGCTAACGTTCACATTAGGAGACAAGTCTCAAGTTTATTTATTATTTTTGCAAAAAATATACTTATTTTTATGTTGATCATCTTACCAGAATACTGAAACACCTGATTTAAGTGTTTCAGTTCTAACATGTGTGTAAGTTTAGTTAGACAAAACAAGTAACAAGTATCTGTAACCATAATGCTAGGCTTGGTCTACCACCTGACCAAACTATTTTAGTGATTAAAATGACAGAGTGTGGTAAATTTTGACCCTATTATGTTGTATAGACTTCCTATTGTGTTTGTTGTAAATATACTCTCTCCTTTATCTATGACAGCTATTCTAAAATGGTTTAATGTAATTATAGTTTTACAGTGATTTTTCTGCAAGAGGATTGGAGTTAGTTTCAGGGCTCCTGCTACTCTAGACCTAATAGCTGTGCTCCAGTGTAAAACATTAAAATGTGGTGATTAAAGTGGAAAGTAATGATAAAATAATTTTGAAAAAGCAATATTGCTAAAAATGGTTAAACTAATGCATAAATATATATATTTGTTTCTAGGGTCTGTTGATGAGCCTGGAAAAGACCTTTCCATTATCCTTGCCCCACCGGCAGCCTATTTCCCGGAAAAACACTATGAAAAGCTGTACACATTCACAGTGGGAAACATTTTTAGGATTATAAATATCACAATGTTACATATAAATATACAGCTGGAATTATAAATGACCCCAATAACTCATTAAAAGGATAAGACTATCTTCACCATGTATTTTCTCTAACCGTAACTTATTCTTAGGACAATGAAACAGTGTTTGTGGAAATGATACTGAAAGTCATGAGGATCATAAATGACGCAGTACTTGCTGTTTTCATTAATTTTTGTATTTTTTAAAGTATTTCTACAATTTCTTACTACTTCATATGACTCTATTAGCTTGTAGAGTTAATTTATGTGGGGCCAAAAAAAAAAGAATTGTTGAAGAAGCCTTATATGCTTGACAACATTACCCATTAGGGAGAAGGATCAGTCCCGTCGTTGCCTGGATGTCTTATCGTACAGAATAAAGGTTTTCTCTTTCCCTCTCTTGCGTTCTATCCATCTATCTCTGCCCTGAGGCAAATCAGTAGTATCTCTTTGCCTTCAGTCTTCACCCTCTCTCTGCCCTGACTAGATGAGGTCCTCTGTTGTAGCAGAAAATTGTGAAACAAATCTGAGATGGAAAAAAGCATGAGAACAGTCCCAGTGACACTGTAGATAAAAAAAATAATATTAAGGTTGTAGTCATTAACCCAAAGCAGTTATGGATACATAGGTAACCTGCTTAACTGTACAAATCCATAGACCTTTTGAACTATTGCTACTGCAGAAGTCTGTTGCATTTTTGTGTTTTCAAGTGTGCCAACCTACCCCAAGCCCTCGGTGCCTCCTCATGGGCGCTAGACTGCACTTGCTGGGTAGACCTAAATGTCAGGCTATTGAAATCAGCATGGCATCATTTGTTCTCTGTGATTCCCAATAGAATTTTTAATGAGCGAACATGCTCAAGCTGACTTTTTGGGTTGTAATGAGTAATGGCAGATTCCAATAGCTGGAGGCTAACATCTTCAGACATATAGTATATTTGCTCAAGGGGCTACAGCTCTTAGTTTTTGTAATATATATTCAATTATGTTGGACAATGCACATTCATCAACATCATAATGGTAATGTGCAAAGACTGACTCATTTCGATTAGCTTTTTGTTTAATTGTTTAATTTGTTTAATTTAATTGCGTCCACCATGAATCCCAATTTAATTATTTTCATACTGGTTGATTTATCCATCTGTCCATCCATCCATACATCACATCCTCTATGACTCGCACCCACTAAGAGTAATGATTTTGGGGAAGGTTACACCCTGCACACCTTGGATACCGGTCTTTTGCAGGAATAACAAAGAGAGACAGACAACTATTCACACTCACTTTCACACCTATTGCCAATTTAGAATTGCCTGTTAACCTAACCCATGGATGTCTTTGGACCATGGGAGGAAGCCAGAGTACCCAGAAAAAGGTTATGCAAGCACAGGGAGAATATGCAGGCAGAAAAGACTACTGGAGGGATCACCTTCAGATTGTTTTAGATACATTCCATGACCTTAGAGGATGAATGTGCATGACTTGGGTAATACACATTTTGCTAACAGTGTAACAGTTTGTGGACTGACTTACAGCTGGATCACATTTGTAATTTAGTCACTTATTTAGATGCAAAACAAATGACATTCTCATCATCATCTGCTTGTGTTGGGTATCATATTAGCATGCTGACACACTAAACTGTGATTAATATAGTAAACACTGTACCAGCTAAGCAGAAGTACGAGTTTGATAGAGCTGCCACTGTAGACTTAGTCTTATTGGACAAAGAATGCTGCAGCTGCAACAAGCCCCCTTCTCGAGGCCCTTTGAGTATTAACAATATTTAATGGTTGCAGTTGATGGACCAACTCAGTGGTGTCTTTTTGTACTTTTCAATGGTTCATTATTTCAGCTACAAGTTGTGTACTGTTAACTACTAGCAGCTTTGAAACGTCATTCAACATTTTCTACATAGAAATTTATTTTAGTACAGGAATTTATCTCATAGTCAGATTGAACTTAGTGGGCTTAGTGTAATTTACAAGAGGGTTGATGGGTGACACAAACTGTTCTTGTTTTTTTTTGTTTTGTTCCTGTTTGCCTTCCGGTCATACGGCCCAGCGAGGGGTGTCTGTTGCCATGTTTCTTTAGAGGTTAGCAGTGAGTGCTTTCTATTGATTTCAAACATTGAAAACAGTCATTGATTGGCTTGTGTGACCCAGTAACAAACTCCCATCAAATCCCCACAGCGATTTTCCCCAGCTGATTATGTTTTATTTCATTTATTTATTTTTTAAGACCACTGATGGTTTTAATATGTAATACTTTGTTGTGCTGGTAAAAGCCAATTATAACGCCAAGAATTGCCTTTTGTCTTGTAGATTAAACAAAGAATGGATCAGCACATGTAATTCAGTTTATAATAGGGCTAATTGGCTGTATTTTATACTTCAGTTTTTATATTATGCTTCGATTGTTCTTATTTCCTTTTTAGTTTTTTCCTTTTGTTCCCACTGAACAAAAAAGCATTTCTTGGTTTTGAAACGATTTAACTAAGTTCTACATAAAGATTTTTAGCTCTCTGTCACAGTTGAATGCCATTTAAAACAATTAGATATAAAAAATATTTGTGATGCACGTTGATATTCCAGCAAAACTTCCCAAACTTTAAGCAGACACTACTGCGGGTTAACTTGAAGGGGATACATTCCCACTTGGTTGTAAAGAGACCTGGATTATTAAGTAGCAGTGCTTTGCTTTGGGGCATGAAATATGCTAACTGATTGGTTCTCTGCTGAAAACAGTGCAGCACTGCTTGTTTTTCTGGAAATACGAGTTTAACTGACACACGTTTGAACCATAGTGGCACGGCAGTGATATGTTGACACTTCCGTTTCCTAAAGGTGATATAAAAGTTTTTACAAGTCATTCTTATGATTGGCACCATTATTGTTACCACAGACTAGTTATTTTCAGAATCATCATAATCGGATGATGTGAAATGTCTCTCAGATGCAAATTTGGTGGGTTTTCTTTTGTGTTGTTTTTTTAAAGGTGGACATCAATGCACTAAAAGAGAGAATTACACAGAGGAAAATTGGTGGATAAAGCAGTCAATAAGAAGCTCGTCACAGCTCATCACAGTAAATGAAAAGAGTGATAAATTTTCTTCGTCTTTTATTGATTTATTGTCTCAAATAGAAATTAACTTCAGCCAACTTGTCAAGTATGTGCACATTGGTTGTGTACGGCCAGCGATGTTGGTGGCCTTTTCTTTGCGGTCCACATGTTCTATATGCCATTGTAAGTGCAGTAGGAGGCAAGTGTTATAGTGTTATATATTGGGCTGTTTATACTTTATTTTTTCATTTTTTTCAATTAGAAATTGATACTGTTATATGTAAAACAAAGAAAATAAGTGAATTATCAAATCAAAAATGCTGGACTCAGCAGATGTCTGTATCTTCTGTTGGAAAATCACTGTTGACTAAGTAATTAATTATTCCCCTTTTTGATGCGGTAACCAGAAATGATTATGACCACCACATAGTTAACATGCTGTTGAGTCAAGTCTGGAACATATGTGTGCCGGTGTTTTTTCCATCAAGGTGTGATTTTTAAAACTGGCAATTCAAAGGACACTCTTCCATGGGCTTTCAATATTGCAGCTCTTTTTTGATATAGACTTGCCTATAGCTCACTCTCTGTCTGGTCACCTCTGAACTGTTGCCTGTGTGTGTTCTCCTCTCATAGAATCTGATCAGTGGCCTGTTCATATCCTTCTTCTCCCCCAGATTACTTTACTTTGCTGGAATGTCCTTTTTTTATTTCTTATTTCCTCCTGTCTTTGTTGCATCTGCCCCTTTGTGACCTTTGTGCAACAGAGGCTCCTCTATTAAAGAAGATGGGAAGCTTTTTGTGTTTGTGTGCGTGCATGCATGTGTGTGTGTGCGTGCATGTGTGTATGCTTGCCATCTAGATCCCTGAAGCGTACAAGCTTTGATCTCTTTCTTCACTTCACCGTGTGCGTCCGGAGAATAGAAAGACTGCTAACTCATCTTGTTATGTTTGTCTGTGTGTGTGTCTGTGTGCGTGTGTATGTATGTTTTCATTAAAATTAGGAGGTGTGGTGCTTTCTCTGGGCTGAATGAAGCAAGTCTTGTCATATCTGTGACTAGCATCGCATGCTGATTGGAGATGTTACAACATTCAGCCTTAAGTCTCAAGACAGACCTTGATACAATTACACCCCACCCCCCAGTGTGTAATATAGAACAGATCTGAAAAATGTTCTCAAACATAGTTTAAAACTGCACTTGTGTGATATGAACGTGCGCACTTTTGTCATCATTTTAAATCCTTGACTTACAACAGAGTAAGAAGAGTTTCTGGGTCATCTTTTTCTTGGTTCAGTCACATATTGTTCTTTTTCATGCTGTGTTTTATTTTCATTGTGTCCACAGTGGAGTTTTTTTTCTTCACAAAGGAGACACTGTGTCTTGTGTAGATGTAGCAAATTGGCTTATAAAGTCAATTAAAGCAAAGTCAATATATCAGGATCTCTTGTGACAGTGGTCTGAAAACCCCCCCCAAAAAACAGAATATGTGCAGTCATAATTTTTTCATTTTTTACTTTTAGAAGTTCAATCACAGACATGTACTCACTTAACTAGATTAGTAGCTGTGGTGGGTGTGTAAGCTCACACTCGCCTTTTATTACAAACCGGTTCCAGCTCTTTTTCGATGGTTGTTGAGTCACTGACAAAGAGGAGGACTCAAGGTTCACATTGGGAAAGGTCTGTTAGATGTGTGTTTGCACATTTTCCAATTTGCAACTGTTTAAAAGTGTGTCTGTGAGTGATGGAGGTGCTATTAGTGTTGCGGGTATATAGTGATGAATAGAGTTGTCGTGATACTAGAATTTAAAACTTGATACCGATACCCAGGAAAATACTCAATATTTGACACCTTTTTTTTAATAAAGGAGGAAGGAAAAAATGACAAAAAATCAATAGGGTTTTCTTTTTTTTTTGGTAAAGATTAGTACAATACAAATCTAACATCAATCACAATGTTTTTGAGTAGTCTGGCATATAAAGTAATGTAACGTGGTGCAACCCCCCCCCCCAAAAAAAGGACAATAATATTTATAGGTGGTTTGAGGTAGTACTGTGCCTCTCACGACTTTGCACTTTTCTTTACTGATCATCTGATGAAAAACGTATCCTCTTCCTTCTAACTTCAAGCCATATTTTCTAAACTGGGGCTCTAATACACAAAAAAGTGCTTAACCATGCCTATCTATTCTTGATATTATACCAATTGCTTATTATTAGTAAATTGGCTAAACAACAATAGCTGGTTACAAACTAACATTTTGCTTTATGTTGGGTTTGAGTGTCCTAAAAATCCCTCCGATAAACCCTTTAATTTTTTCACTCTTGCATTTATTTGCTAAGGAACAGAGTCCAACAACATTAGATACACTTCAACCAAAGTTTCACTAACACTAGGCTATTAGCAGCTAACAGTGCTATGAGCCTACAGCAGTGCTAATTTTCACTGACTCATCTCTTCTTATTTGACTCCTTTCACAAAGTTTTAAAGCCTTGAGTAAATGGACATGGACACTATTGTCAGCCTACACTTAATGCAGACAAATGGCAGCCAGAGTTGTTTGTCCTACAGTGGCCACCATAGCCAGGATTATGCACTTGAATTGGGAGGGGTAATAAAACAGAACTTGGACAGCTAGTGGAGAAATTTGTCACACTGTACCTTTTAACATTATCCACTAGCCACAACCTCAATGATGACTTAAGAAATGGCTAATGTTGCTATCTGGTAATTGCAAACATATAAATGGTTAAAGATATCAATGCGAATGGGTATCTGAACTGATAGTAATTCTTATTAGTTTATTATCACTTAGTATCTTAGTACTGTTTCTTTCAGACATAAAATGAATTTTTATAAGGGAAAGGCTAAGAATTAATGAAAATTTATTTTAAATTTGGTTTTAAGATTGATTTATTTTTTGGCAATTGACAGCAAGGAGGAGAATATACCATAAATGTCTAGTAGGACTTGGGGACATTGCATGCCTTGGCTATCATTTCAAACCTGGAAATCTTCCAACCCTTGCTAAGGTCTGCTCTTATTCTTCTTTCAAGTTGAAAAGTTGGTCATTCATCATTCATGATCAGATACCCATCAGTCCATTAAAACTACAAAGGAGAGATTCAAGCTGGAAACACATTTTGCACATTTCCACAGAGGATGAAAAAAATAAATATAACCCCCATTCAGGAGGTTAGAGGGTTTTTGTCAGCCACTGGCTTCTGTAGCTTCTTTAAGCTTGAGTGCAGGTTTGGTATCTTTGCCAAAAGCTATAAATATTTAATGACAAAGTCCTCTTTAATATCATCCTCTGCCTCTGTATCTTGTGTGTCTTTATGTTACTCATCCAGGTTCTGATTTGCCGTAACTACATGGGAAACATGGACATAAATGTGATCGACCAGTTCATGCCCATTCTGATGAAGAGAGAAGAAGACGCTGAGATGACGCCGCTGATCAGCCATGGCTCCGCACACTTCATGTGGATCAAACACAACAACCTTTACTGTATCCAAAGAGAGTTTACTGCTGCGTGATGTGCTCTGTGGTGCCTGCTAAAACGAAGCCTTCACTGCAGACACTATAAATATCTATGTGAATTCTCCACTTTACCACAGTATAGTTTTCCATTCTGGCTGACATTCCTGCTTTAGTTCTTCAAAGTGACAGCCCTCCCATCAATCATTTACAGCATGTAATACATATACCTTAATTGCATCTTTCCAGGACAGATCTATATGAAGTCCTGTGTTTCAGGTTGCTTCTGAGCTTCTCCACTTAAAAAATTGAACACAGGTTCACTATGATGTGTTATTCACTGTCTTCAATATTCCACACTCAGTCTTACTTACACATTATTAATTCAGGAACATATTCCAGTTGTTAGTAGTATTCCCAGTGCACTGCATTACACAGCTGAGCTCTTTTACCACCCTGTGGCCATGTTTTTAGTTGCTTGAAAGTCTCACACATTCTGTTAACTTTCAATTATGCTGCATTCGTCTCATAATCACTCCCAGTAAAGAATAAAACATGCCTGCTTCATGTCTTCTAACAGATTAAAAAACGTTTGCCTCTTGTAGATAAAACTTTGTTTCTTAACAGTTTTTTTTTTCAGTGGTGGCAATCACTAAGAAGAATGCTAATGCTGCTCTCGTGTACTCCTTCCTTTATAAAATAGTACAGGTGAGTGTGATGTTTACAGTTCATACTTTTTATTCCAAGGATGGAAAAGTTGCATTTGCATTATGAAGTCGTCTGATTTTCTATGTAGGCAATACATTTGGTTTGATCTATTGATGAAATGCAGGAACAGTTGGTGTTTCTGCACCGACAGTCTTGGTTTTTGGTTTGGGTTTTGTTGTATTTCTTGCAAAGTACTTTGTGACATGTACGGTAAAACAACAATGACACTCACAGAATACTTCCCTCCCAAACTCTTACATTTATAAGAACGTGATCTGGAGTGGTACCACATTGTAATAGACTCCTTCTTTGATCTCCACCTCTACCTTTCCAACACATTTCAGGAAATATGGCCTAGTAGCTGTTTCGCATAATTCTGCTAGCAGATGGCCAGATAAACAAACAGCTCTTTTCTTGCTAGAGGAATAAATGTAACCAGCTCATTGTATAAATTATTGGAATAGGTCTTAATAAACTGCAGTATTAACCAGTTGACTATGAAGTGTAAGCGTATCTATTTGTTTTTCCCCTATACATATCTTTTCAGCACTGATATATGAAAAGATAATAATAAAAATCTTACTGTGGGATAGTAATAACATACAGTATGTGTGCACTCAATGTAAAAAGTACTGCTCAGCAGCTTGCATAGGATTTTTCATAGTAGCTGTTTGTATTTCTGTTTCTAGGTATTTAAGGAGTACTTTAAGGAGCTTGAGGAGGAGAGCATTCGCGACAACTTTGTGACGGTGTACGAACTGATGGACGAGGTGATGGATTTTGGGTTCCCTCAGACGACTGAGAGCAAGATCCTACAAGAGTAAGACAAATGTCACACAAGTTGACAACAGTCCACAAACCATTGCGCCACGTCTGTTTGTTCAAGTGTAAAAACTCAATACCTCAGACTGGGAAGCATTTTAGATTCAAATAAATAATGAGTCAGCACTTTATCGAAATATGTAAGCATAGACGGAAATACAGTAAATACAATTAGTAATGCAAAAAATACTATACAATTCTAATGAGCTTAAAAGTTAATATTTGGTATGACCACCTTTATTCTTCTACACAGCCTGAACTCTCTTAAGCAGCTTTGTAGTCATTTCTTCTTGAAGGACATTCAAACTCTTCTGTAGATTTTGGCTGCCTTTTTTTTGAAAATTTCGTGCTGAAAATTAAACTTCCGATGGCATTGCATGGCAAAATCTGACAAGCTCTCCAACACCACTGACTGAAATGCTTTCCCAAACCATGTCAGAGCCTCCACTGTTTTTTACAGACAACTGTAGACACAGTAGTATCTCTTGTCCTCCTCTGTACATTCCGATAAAAATTTAAACCAAGAATTTTACATCTGGATTATCACTTCATTAGACCAGTTGTCGCTGATTTTCAGCCCAGTACTTGAGTAATTTGGCATACATTGGCCTTTATTCCCTGTTTCGCTTCCTTAAAAATGGCTTCTTGGCAGCCACTCTTCCATTGAGGCTATAGTGAACAGTAGTAGTTCATCTCTCAGTTCCAGTTTCAGGTCTTTGCTGAATTTCATATTTCCTAAGGACATGGCATGTCTGGTGAAGCTATTTTTATTTAATTTTTTTCCTGCCACTTCTTGTTTTGTCCTCCACTTATCCAATTTCCTCACATTTTTGAGGTAATGCTGCATACCATGGCAAGACATACCAGGTTTTTGGCACGTGGTTCTTTGGGAATCACCTTGTTGGTGCAAAGATACCATTTTATGCCTGTCAACCCATATGGAAAAGAAATAGTAAAAACATATATGATTTCATTATATAATTTTTCAAGGGATCTTATATGTGTTTTCACTCTTGTATGCTTTTCATACAAGTTTCATACAAGACAGATACAAACTTTATAAGATTTATATATATCTTTTCCATATGGGAAACTGTGTTATCTTTGGTATCTGTTCTAGATTCAACTGGAGAAATGGGAGCAAATGATGTGTTTTTTCGACAGGCTGCTGGTAACAAAGTGTTACCAAATTTAAAATGGAGTCCGATGGACCGATCCGATATTATGTATCTGTATCGATCCGATACTGACCTAAATTACTGGATCGGATATAGGAGAGAAATAAAAAATGTAATCCGATCCGAAGTATCACAAAATAACCTCACAAAACGCGCTACTTGGCGTAACCCAGCTCAGCGCATCGGAGCAGTATGTGTCACCTGATAGAGCGGCTGTTGTCTGCGAGACATGTCGGTGGTCTGGTGGAGCATTTGGAGCATTACGTGCTTCCAAACCGCGGCATTCCATCTCAAAGAAAACTATCCCAGAGAAGTAAAGTGTGTAAGTGCATCTCTGAATGTTTGCATAGTATTTCCACTTTAAGCATAACAACTGATATATATGGAGCCACAGCTGGACTGGCCATCGGAGTTCCATATTGAGGCGAAAAGGAAGCAATTTGTCCCGTACTTCAGCTAGAATTAAAAAAAGGCACGAAAAAAGGCTGGAGTTATTCTGTCTTTGCTGCACAGCTGCCGTTCTTCTCTCATTCTCTCCCCCTTCCTCCCCTGTTGCTACTTCAATCATGGAACTGACCAATGATCTTTTCTGTCGCAAGTCCCGTCTTACTTGTTTGTTTATCGCCCACTTTGCGCCAGAAAGAGGAGACCAGCGGATAAAGAACAGCTGCTTGATAAGCTGTTGTTAGACTTGATTTAATATTAATTTCTAGTATCAGCTGATGTTTGCTGGAGCCATGGCTGTAAAAGCTGCTGGTCATGATATCCGTTTGGATATGTCGTGAGAGGGAAACATGAATATGAAACCAGGAGATGTCCTTACTGAATCATCAGCTGAACAGTGATGGACAAACAGGTTTACCTGTTATGTGACATGAATGAGTGGAAGGGAAGCTATGAACTGTTTCTGAGAGACAAATAACACCAGGATCCTTTTCTGTGTAGCTGACAGCTGGTAACTGTGCAGGTGCGGATCTAGCAAAGTTTTGCCAGGGGGCCAGGTAGGGCATTAACAGGGAAAGGGGGGCACAAAAAATACTTTTCTTTGTTATTTCATTTAAAATGATGAACTTTTAATAAATAATTATCTGAATCTTACAACCAAAGTGGTCATCTGATTAAATGTATAGAAATCCATTATTGTATATAGTAACTATTAAGTCTAATATACATCCTAGTAATCTATAGTACTTTTTCCTATGGGAATGTACCATCTGTGCAGTCTGCAATTCTGTTGTAGAAAGATGTTGAATCTATTTAATTATTCTTGAAAAATAATTTATTTCTGTGCATTTGTTTTACACGTGCATTAAATTAAAGTTGATTATGTCGATTAAGCATTGTGAGGTGAAGGGTGGGGGGGGGTTAATATTTTTGCTGGGAGTTGGCAAACCTATTAGTTAGGTTGTTTAATATTTCTGCTAAGTACTCTTTAAGATACCAGAATAGGGATGATGGTGCAGCTTTAAGTTTATTAGATTGATCAGTTTTGCTGAACTATAAAATATTTTGGGTGCAGTGTATTTTTTGCATACAAGTATAACAGAATAGCTTTAGTGTTTTGGTTTTTAAAACTTGAGAATGAACAAAATGTAGCAACATATTTATAAAAAAATTGTTTTATTGATTAAAAAATACACTATATCGGATTCATATCGGTATTGGCAGATATCCAAATTTATGATATCGGTATCAGACATAAAAAAGTGGTATCATGCCATCTGTAATATTATGATACAACACTGGTTCATCAACTGAGTTATGTGCAAAAGAAAAAAAAAAACATTCCAAAAATGTCCACGTCTGAACTAAAAATGAGTGAAAAAGCAGCCAATGTCCAAAGAAAACTGAAAACCCTCAGAAAGCCTTGAAGGACTATTGCAAAAGAGAAAGCTCCTTGGAGGTAAAATATAAAGAGTGGTGAATAAAGATTTTTGCATGGTACGGTATATTTCTTTGATATTTGTGTTTAAACTATTTTGAAAGTATTAGCTAACCTTTCATTAAAAGAAAAAGGAAAAAAAGACATCATGAGTGGCCAAACGCGACAGTAATAAAATTTTAATACATTACCTTTGTCATTGCAACACCATCAAACTCTGTCTTTTGATATATTCTCAGAGAGACACCCAGTGGCAAAACTTACACTCTGTGCAGTGGAAGTAAAAGAGGGCTTGTAGAAATTGCTTTGGTGATTTTATATTGGACAAACGGTGAAACAGTATGGCATTTAAAATGAACACTAATCAGGCTGATGAGGTGAAAGTTACAAACTCTCAAAGGCCATAATTGCTGCATTCCTGTCTGGTTTTAATGTAACCACATTTACTCAAGTGGTACCTGTATCATCCATCAGGGAACAAAACAGGAGTTTTTCAGCGAGGTAACAGCTTCATATTTCATGGTGCAAGTTAGCGGGAGAGAGGGAATGAGAGCAAATGATGATTCTGTTTGAAGTGCTCTAGGCCATTTTTTTTCTTCTCATTCAACTGAGCACAACTGGTGACTAAAATTGTAATGAATGGCTCAGCTTTATACACTGAGTGAAATGAAGTGAAGCCACTGCTATTCTTTGGACCACTCGTGCTTTGTGTTTGAGCTGTACACAGGGTTGTTTTGCTTTTACCCTCCTCATGGCTCCACAGAGAGACTTTTGTTTCCAGGAGAAGGATCAACATTCACTCTGAAGCCCACAGCACCACAGGCACATAGGCTGTTAGTGTGTGCATTTTATTTGATTATTTTATTTTGCTGTGAATATATTGTGCACACAATTTCTTTGTCTTTTTTTTGTTATTGCTATTAGCTGCTGCTGTAACAATTTGTCACCATCTTTATTTACAGGGTGCTTTATCAGAAACTTTCACATTTGCATAGTGTATTGTTTACCTTTTTCATGTTTTATGTGTAGTAATACATGATGGATGTTTAATTTAATGTGGTTTTTTTCACAGAGGTTTGGCTTTGGCTACGTGTGTGTGTGTGTGTGTGCGTGTGCGAGCGCGTGCATGCGTATGAGTGTCTGAGCGTCTGAGTACTGCTGATAATTACCAGGCTCCTGTTGGCACTCACACACAATGACACCATCAGCTGGACACACTCAAGACACTCAGACAGAAATCCCTGCTCTTCTCTTCCCCAAGGAGCCATACAGTTGTTGTCTCTCACACACTCTCTCTTTCTCTCTCTCTCTGACACACACACACACACACACGTTCTGTCTCTCTGTCTGCAGGCTACTTCAGTTCTCTGACCTTTTCATGCCCCCAACACTGCTCTTCTCTTACATTTTAACACTATCTACCTGGCAAGAGTATAACTGTGTGTCTGTGTGGGTGGATGCAAGTGTGACTGGAGGGTTGCGCATGCATGTGAGTGAGTTCATGTGTGCACATACGTAGAAATCTTCATCGGCGTGTAGGCGTGTCTGTGTGTGTGTTTCCTTTGACTGCTATTGTTATGCTAATCCATCAGTTTGCTGCCAAATCAGCTTCCAGAGCCTTTCATTAGCATTTCTGAGGAGAATCAGGGCAAAACAGAACAAACAGCAAAGCAGCAAAACAATCCGGCGTCAACCCCAAACCCACTTGTCGCCGCCTTTCATCTCTCAGCACTTACAGACTTTCCTACATGTCAGCATGCATTCAAGACCCGCTAGGTTGGAGGAACTAGGGCAGAAAACACAGAAAAATCTTCTGCCTCAATCTGTCAATCAATCCAAAACTTGTTTATTTGGCACATTTTGTGGATGAGATTAGATAGAAAATTTTGATTTTAAGGGAAAGCAAGACTCTTTTTGTTTAGCAGGATTTCACACAGTTAGAAATCACACAATCTCACAGACAAGTATGTTTAGAACAATCGTAGTTAAATAGTTTTATAATAAGAATAGTAAGACTTAGCACAGAGAGCTGCCAAGAAAATCCTTCAGTTTTGGAGGCTTCACAGCAAGTTTTGTTTATTTTTGTCCTTTTTTGGTGTTGTCTGCTAAAAAAGGGGAAACATTTTAGATGGCATTTTGTGTAATAAAAAAAATACTACATTTAAGCAATATTGTCTCCTTGATGCTAAGAAAAAAGTGTTTATTGCAGGCTTGAAGAACATCTTTTTAAAAAGTTAATTTTCTGGACAGTATTTTTATACGTTAGCCTTTAGAAGTAACACGTCTCCTTACAAGATTACTGCCATTAGCATTAGTCTGTTACTTCACAGTGATACGTGACAAAAGCAACTTGTTGGAGCACTTTTGTGTTACCAAACGTGACAGTACTCTGAAGTCGAGCTATGAAGTATTATTATCCATATACACACAATGTGAATACTTTCAGTGTCAAGGGGATCTTCTTTGCTAGTAAGCAGCTGTGAGGAAAGGGCCAGAGACAGAAACACTGCTAGCACATTAGGGAATTTTTATTTTATTTGTTTTATTGAAAACAACTAATATAATACAATATTTAACAGAAATGGATTGCTTATTAGGAAAAAAAACCCAAGATCACAAAAACAAAACTAAACTAAATGATTGATTTTCAGAATGAACTCATTAGATTAAAGTAGTGTTTAGTACTTTAAGTAGTTACAGTGTAACACATTATGCCCAGCGATTTGATGTACCTGCACTTATAGAACATTGTACTGAAGTCACATTTCTTTTTAACTCTTCACTGATGCTGTGCATTCATACAGCTCACACCCACAGCCAATTTAAATTCACCAGTCAACCTAGCATGCATCTCTTTGTACTATGGTAGGAAGCTGAGCCAATCAGGAGATTAAAACCGGTAAGCGTTATTCTGTGGGGGACAGCGCTAACTACCACACCACCATGCTGCCCAGTACTGTTGAGTGGTTGGATCAGTGGCTTAGATGGCACTAATAATACAGGTTACATTCAATATATTCCTGAAAAGTATGAAAGGTGAAATGATAAACATTGCATACCTGCTTTAGAGATTCTCATTTTCAGCAAATAGAGATTTTTGAGGTTTGGAAATGCACCTGGAGCATTCAGGTCATTGATATGTGGTTTTATCTAAGGAAAGCTTGAAGGCCTGAGTGGGAGAATGAAAAGATGAGAGACGGCTAAACGGAGGAGGAGACAGAGTGGAGGAGAAAGTGTCAGAGTAATGAACTCAGGGTGGAGATAAGCGGCTGCTTCAGAGAGTGCACTTTGGATCACTGTCAGTCTGTCTTTTTTGTGCCAATGTCAAAGAAACTGATTAAATTCAATTTAAGCTGATACTTCTTCGAAGTACGATGAACTCTAATTTCAGTTTCTCCTGCCAAGTACCAGCATTTAATCATTGTGAATAATAATATACTCAGACACTAACATATATCTAAATACATACAATACAAAAATGATTAATAACCCTTCAACTGGAATAACTGTTTACACTTCATATTCTGGGGGGAAATAATTGGGAGGCAGAAATATCCAGACAGCTCTGCAGTGGGAATGAGGCCACTGAGAGCTAAACAGTGATGGGGGGCAGGTGTTTCGGTAAAAGAGGCCTGGTCACATGATGTATCATAGTGCAGCTCCCTCTTATTCTCATGACGAGTCATTATACATCCCTGGAGTCGAAGAGGACCGGTGAAACAAAGCTTTACAGCTTGGTTAAGAGCGATGAGGTAATGCAGTGCTCTGTTCTCGGGTAGAGGCAGAATAGTTACATGTTAAAATGTATAATGAGTTTATTGATTTGTTCTTAGTACAGTTAATATTAGACCTAATTTAGAGCAGTATATGTACATCGTTGACATTTTTCAGAAGTTGCACCATTAAATATTTTTGTCATCAGCCTACCACTTAAATTATGTAAATGTATGTGTTTACTGGGAAAGGAGCTTTCTGTGTCGGTGTATCCTGAATAATATCACCCAAGTGCCATAATTCTCTCTTAGTATTGAGCATTTTTAGTGTTTTTTAGCACATTGGTTTGGTTTCACATCTGAGGTTTTGATTCGGCTTGGCCAGTCTTAGTAAGCAGAGGGTAGCTCATTTCCGTAGACAAGATCTCTGTCTTAAGACTCTAATTTAACTTTCAGTACCAAAGAGCTGACTGATTATCTGCAGAATGCAGCAGCAGCTAAAGACTTGGATGGTGGCATTAAAACTAGAGCTGAAAACAGAGTATGTATATATAACTGAGCAGAAGCATGAATCCAACTTTAAAGGCTTTACTTTAGCCAGTAACTGATCATCTTTTGTCCATCAGAATTTTCCTAAATTGTGTCAATAAAAGGCCTCTAACCTCCATTATTTCTGTCAGTGCATCCTAACACAGTTGCAAGCTACAGAGAAGCCTCAACAAATCAAAGAAAACTGACAAACTTGCTTCAAGATGCGTTACACGCTGCAGGTTCGGTTCCTTTGAATCAGCTGTCCCAGTCTTTCCTCATGGCCCAGTAGATACTCGATTCGTTGGTTCGTATTTACCCAGCCAATATGTCATTGTTTAGTCTCATGTAAACAAATGCTACAGCCCCAATTGATTTATGTAAATCTGTTTTCTAATTACGTTCATGAATAATCTTCGTACAGCACAAATACAAAGCTCCTTTAATTTATCCACGCTTGAGTAACTCATTTTTTTAAAGTCGTGGGGTGCGATTAATGCAAAGCATAGAAACGTTCCTCAAGAGAGATTTGGTTCATGTTGCTAGATAAACACGCTGTTTGTTGCCATTTTTCATTTAGATATATTTGAGTTAAGGATCTCGCTGTTGTTCTTAGGCCTCTGAGAAGCTGTCAGTCTTTAGAGGAGATGAGGAGATTAAATTATAATTTCAGCCTGCTGCAGTTTATCATGGTACTCCTCCAAAATTAGAAAGTGCTGCCTCTTTCCCAGACACCTTCATGAAGGCTGCGATCATTAGTTTTCAAACTAGCTTGATGAATGATGTACATGGGTTTTCAGGTGTCCTACTCAGCAGGATTACAGACTGACTTTGAACACAACTTGAGCTTCTCTCTGCCTTTGTCTCCTTCAGGTACATTACACAGCAGGGCCATAAGTTAGAGGTCGGGGCACCGCGACCTCCTGCCACCGTCACCAATGCTGTGTCCTGGCGGTCAGAGGGCATCAAGTACAGAAAGAATGAAGTGTTTATGGATGTTATAGAGTCAGTAAATCTTCTGGTGAGTCAATATCACAGCATCATAAAGAGCTGTACAGTAAGAATGTTCATTTCCAGCCATGCGGTGACCATGGTGTCATCAAAACAAATGTAATGTACATAATATGGCTCTTTATCATTAGAATTTATATATATTTTTTCACCATTGAATTCAGTTACAGGAAGTAAACTAACATAATAGAAAACACATGACTCTCATTTTAATTTCACTATCAGTTCGTACATTGTTCAAACACCATTATCCGTTTTTTAAATCCATTGTCTAAAATCGCTGGACTTTCTCAAGCGGTTCAAATAGACTTGGCTTCCTTGAGGCTAAGTGGATGTGCGTTACTGCTAAAATTATCTTCCCTTGAATTGAATCGCTGAGTAAATTGTCTCTGCATCAATAATCATCCATTCTGTTCCAGTGCAATATTTTTGTTGTGTTTTCATTGAATGACTCAGTTTATGTCTAAGGTTACTCAGTAAATCAAGCAGACAAAATACCTCAGGACAAGTCACACACTATGTTTCTTGTGAGTGAGATGATTGTACAGCATTTTTAGTTAATTCATGGTCTAACTGCTGGAAAATAGAAAGGTTCAAATGCCCACCTGCTTTATTTCAGTAAATACTTGGTGAAAAACACTTTTCTTAACTAAAAGTATGTAAATGCTATCATCCAAAATATTTCATTATATTGTAACTTTCCCTTTCTTTACAGTTATTACATTCCCCCCCCCCCCACCACCGGGCTTAAATGGACAGTAATACCACGGTGTGCAAATGTGATGTTGTCAGGCTTCATGACCCAATTAGAAGAACTTCTATTTTTATTAAGGTCTAAGATTTCCTGCAGCAAAAGAAGAAGACGTTTGAATACGTGAACATGCTGCGTCTTCAAATGCACAAAAGAATCAGATCTTCTCTCATGTGCCTCGTGTTTGAGGCAACACCTCAAGGACAATCAAGTTACAACTGCAGTTATGAGTCATGGAAACTAATTTGGTGGAGGTGTTCAACCACTACACAGGGGTGTAAAAACCAGTAACCGCTTCCTTCTCTGTGAACAGGGACTTTTTTTTAATGTTGACAGAGTTTTATTTCTTTCTTTTTTTATTTTGAGGTATTCTCTGCTTTATTGAAGTAGTAAGGAGTAGAGCAGGAGAAGACACAGCACAGGGCTGTGGGTTGGACTCACACCCAGGATGCTGGGTTTTAGCCATGTGGTAAATGGTTGCCTCCTCACCCAGTGAGTGAAACTAGCACCCCAACATTTTTTTTTTTAGTCTTCCTCACCAGTGTTTTACTTACAGTTCTTACGCTGCATGCTAAAAGACTTTCTGTTTTGTCCCTCAGACTGTGTGCATCCTCTGAATGGTTAGGTCGATTGGTTTGTTGCTTTCTTCTTCTGGGAACTACATATCTGAAAAGTGTAATTCTTCAAATAACGAATATGTATTTGTTTCAAAAAATTGTAATTGTAATCATCAGACTGAACTTCCACAGCTGCAAGGGGCAGATTTGACTGTGTAGCATATGTATTCACAGAATCTAAACAAACTAATGTTAAAATTTATTTTCTTCTCTGTAGGTGAGTGCCAGTGGCAGTGTCCTGCGCAGTGAAATAGTGGGTAGCATCAAGCTCAAAGTGGTCCTGTCAGGGATGCCTGAACTTCGACTGGGCCTCAATGACAAAGTGCTGTTTGAGCTCACAGGCAGTAAGTAACAGTCACCCACAGCCATTTGTGTCACTAGAAGCCTTTATTACAGAGCTGAACACTCGTGCAGGCAGCTGACAGAATGAAAAAGGATCAGAATCCCTGTATATCTGTGGATTTATCTCAGTATTATACATTTAAAAACAACATCCAGCACACATAAGGGTTGTAGCACTTGAAGTCAGTGAGGGAAATTTAATTGGAGCTGGACCTGCATGTGTTTACAGTAACTTTTAAACATTATTATGTACCGATCAGGCATAACATTATGCACGCCTAATATTGTGTTGCTCCCCCTTTTGCTGCCAAAACAGCCCCTGAAGGTGTGCTGTGGGATCTGCCACCAAGATGTTAGCAACACATCCTTTAAGTCCTGTGAGCTACAAGGTGGATCAGACTTGTTTTTCAAGCACATCCCCACAGATGCTTGACTGGAATGAGATCTGGGGAATTTGGAGGCCAAGTCAACACCTCAAACTTGCTGTTGTACTCCTTGAACCATTCCTAAACCATTTTTGCTTTGAGGCAGGGCGCGCTATCCTGCTTTCATCGGTGGTCAAGAGTACTCTTAACACTTTTCTATTAGAATCAGCATTGACATTTGCAGTAATTTGAGCTACAGTTGTACACGGGCCAGCCTTCATTCCTCACATGCATCACTGAGCCTTGGCCATCTATGTCCCTGTTGTGGGTCAACCACTGTTCCTTCCTTGGACCTCTTTGATAGATACTGACCACTGCAGACCAGTAACAGCCCACAAGAGGTGTTGTTTTGGACATGCTGTAGACTTACACTTGCCCATTTTTCCAGCTTTTTGTCCACATCGATTTGGGGACAAAATGTTTACTTGCTCTTTAATATACCCCACCCACTAACAGGTGCCAGGATGAAGAGATAACCTGTGTTATTCACTTCATATGTCAGTAGTCATAATGTTTTGCCTGATTGGTGTAGTATGCAGTCTATTTGTTGTAACTGATGAAATGACAGTAAGCCTCTAAACGATCAGTAGAATGCTTTATTGCTTTTTGATACACTTTCTACTTTGTTTGGTGCTGGTTGAGCTTTTGGCTTTTCACTCTCCCCTTGAACTCACCCTCACGCTTTAGCTCCTCTCTCTGCCTAAATCCCATGCATAACTCTCTTCCTACCTCTACCTCCCCCTCTCTGCCTACCAATTTTTCCACCGGTGTTTCCCACTGCTACATCTTTTCTCGCCTACTCCTGCACATCCTCCTCCTCCTCTTCCATCTCTTCTTCCTCCTCTGCTTTGCCTTCATTTCTTCCCCCCCCCTACTGTTTCTAGTGAAGGGGAAAGGCTCCTTCACTGTCTACCCTCTTTGCCTCTGCGTTAATCCTCACCCTGGGCTACAGCCCTGCAGATGAAAGGTGAGGGTCCGCGGCTATCCTATGCAGCCCACAATCCCCCTGCTGTGTGTAGGAGTCTGGGAAATAGCATATCCTCAGAAATAATGATCAGAAATAATGATCAAACAGACGCACTGGCAGATGCAAACACACACACACACACACACACACACACACACACACACACACACACACACACACACACACACACACACACACACACACACACACTGTTAAATATTAAAAAGTGTTTTGCACTCTCATCTCCTGCAGTTACATTTTACATATCATTTCCCAGTCATTGGATTATCATAGTTGCTTGGTTTGTACTTTTTAGTCACAGCTTGATGCAGACAAAAAAAGAAAGAGGAAGTATAAATCATTTAATGCTGCCCTCCGCTGGTAGAAGTCCAGAACTGTCACCACACGGAGCTGAAATAACCATAACACAAGTCACTCCTGTGTTATTTACTGACTGAAAGCAAGCAAACAAAATCATTTCTATCCCTTGAATGTCCACAGCTGCTCGCATATTCTCTAAGTAATTCAAAATTCTCTCTCAGTGGCCTCAATGGCTTGTTTAAAGTCAGTGGAGTTTTAGGTTTTGAGACTGTGTGGATTGGGTAAAAATGACAGACGTTTTCAAAGCAGCCCATATAATCATATTATGAGCTGCAGGCTACTTTGCGTGCAACTAACAATTATGTTGTTATCAGTTTGCACTCTTATCATTTTCTTAGTTAATCAGTTTCTCCACAAAATGTCAAAGACTCATAAAAATGCCCAAGGTGACAGCTTTTAATTACTTACGTTTATAACTGACAATCAAAAATGGAGAGGTATGTTGTTTACAATAATATACATCAAACATTAGACTAACCAATCTTCACATTTAAGGCGATTAAATATTCCTTTGGCCACTCGAAGCACCATTAAGATGCTTTAGGCATTTATCAGTTGTCACTATAACGTCTTTTTTCCCCCCACTGTGTGACAGTGGACAGAAAAACAGATTAGGTTGCTCTTGTCTGCTACTGTGCATTAAAGACATGCTGAGAGTGGCCGTAAGGGTGAACCACAGGGGACACTGCTGCATCTTCAATCCTCCTCTGGCATGTGCACGCACACCTGTCTCTTCTTTGGGCCCCGAGGTCCAGGGAATGACAGACAGTATCCTGTATGACCTTTCATTGCTTGTCTTGATAACGCTGCATACAAGTGTGTGTGTGTATGTGTGTGTGTGTCTATGGTAGTGGCATAGAAGGACACAAACAGGAAGCGTTTCCTGCTTTTTCTTGACCAGGAGTGTTGGGTTCTCCATGGCATCCACCTTTCTCCACTTTCACATTATAAAATGTCACACACACAGACACACACAAAATCAATAGAGAAACAAGCGCAGTACACAAATCTGCAAAACGGGCATGCATAAACACATGCACGAACACCAACTCACGAGGGAGGACAGTGAAGAAGAATACACACAGAATACACAAATACGCACATCCACACACAGGCAGGCACATTCCCTCTGACAGGCCTCAGTGCTGGTCCCGGGGTTGCATTCTGAGCAGGTGAAGCTTTAGCTCACTATTGAACGGGGGATTTAGCTGAAGGCTCACAGGCCCACAGTCATTACAGCAGTTTTTCACCACTCTGCACCCTCAATTAACCACGGCAGAGGTGAGCATCAGGCGTTCTCCAGCAGGCATCAGAGGCTGCCATGAAAGAGATTCCCCTTACAGTGTAACTGATTACTGCAACAGTGCAAGTGTGTTCACTCTAGGTAGCAGCTTTAACTTTGAGAGTGTTTTTGTGCCGAGTCTATTCAGGGATTTTCTTTTTTAATGGTTTTGCTTTTGTGACTTTAATATTTTGGGGGGCAATTGGCTACATAAAAAAAAAAATCTGAATACATGGAGGCATTATTGTCACATTTGAAATACTAAATAAATTGTTATAAACAATAGCAGGTGTGACTATATCAGAAGTCATTCATATCGCTTGAATGTCTGCAGAAATCAGTGAGTTTCATTTGGGGGGATGATGGCAGCAGGTATTAAATACAAACTGTGTGCTTGTGTGTAGCAGCAAAACTAATTGTTTAGTGGAGGATGAGAAGAAGGCACTGTGAGCTGGTAACACACTGCTTTCAGTGTGTGTTTGTCTGAGAGAGAGAGAGATGAAGTGAATGTTTGTCAGTCATCATTACCTTGACCTTGATTTCCCCAAGGCTGTGTACAAAGCTCTCAATCTTTGTGTGTGTGTTTGTGTCAGGAGAGAAGAGCAAGACAGTGGAGCTGGAGGATGTGAAGTTTCATCAGTGTGTTCGTCTGTCACGCTTTGAGAACGACCGTACCATCTCTTTCATCCCCCCTGACGGCGAGAGCGAGCTCATGTCCTACCGCCTCAACACTACAGTGAGGACACATAAACGTTGTCAAAAGAGCACATTCTTTTCACATTAGGTCAAATGACATGACAACCCAAAAAGTGTCTTTATTTTATTGTTTTTGTACTCTTTGATGTTCATTTTTGTTGTATTAAGCTATCTACTTATAGTGAAGCTTGCTGTTCATAACTGATCTTCACAGTCATAGTAAATTGGTAAAGTTGTTAACATCCAACACTTTAAAAGACTCAGTTTTAAAAATAACATTACCCAGCTCTTTTTGGTCAATCGCAATAAAGAAGTAAAACTTTCACTCCTTTAGTGTACTTGAATGGACATTACTGTATCTGAGTCGCTGACTGTATTTATAAAAAATAGATGGAGCCTCCACAATGTTACCCAGTGGGGTTGAAGCCTTAAGCCTTGTTGGAGTGACCTTTTTTTTTTTTTTTTTTTTTTAGCTTTGTTAGCAAGGTGCACCCATGAGACAGTATTGGTGTATTACATATACACAGATAAATAGTGATTATTGGTAAAGAAATATCAAACCACAAACTTTATGTCAGTACAGTTAGCAGCACATCAGGCCATATTATTTGACATTTAACTTTGATTAAGATGCTCTAAAAAGGACCAAGGACCAACAAAACTCAAACTAGCTGATGTCATGCCTAGCAGGTAGCTAGTGGCTAAGGGCACCTCACCTTTCATTCAAAATGTTGAAGTACTTCTGTTGGTCTTCAGCAGCTCAGCCAATAGTTTCTGCACAAACAAATACTGTTAGGAAACCTGGATAAAATAATTATTTCAGTTACTACGAGATGGCATGATGAGACTTTAAAACCAAGACAAACACTCCCCTGAGTCTTTGAAAACCAGGATAAAGTGACTGGATGTGTGAATGTTATTTACAGCCTTCTGCAAGCACAGCCACAGCACTGTTTGTCTTGTTATGTGTGCAGCGATGCACTCGATTGTGCGCTCGGTGCATTTCTGACCTTGTGTCCACTCTCTGAATCCCTCGCCGACCTCTGGATCTCTGACAGGTGAAGCCTCTCATATGGATTGAGAGTGTGATTGAGAAGTTCTCTCACAGCCGCGTGGAGATCAAGGTTAAGGTAACGATGAATGACACACAAATATATGAATGCACACACATAGAGCAAAATGCACCATATGCTGATCTGGGTTTAAAGTGCATTAGTGCCTTCACTAAAGCTGATCTATAATTTATGACACATTCAATGGATTGCTGTTTGCCATCTGTTTGTTCGCAGTGTGGTGATGCAAAGTAACAACACTGTTGCATAATTGCAAGGTCTTATTTGAATTTGTGCATGTGCTTTTTGTTATAAAGATCTTTAATGACGCTTGAACTCTGTTCTCTGACATCATCTGCAGGCTAAAAGTCAGTTTAAGAGCCGCTCCACTGCCAACAACGTGTCCATTCTGGTGCCGGTGCCCAGTGATGCTGACTCACCCAAGTTCAAGACCAGCACAGGCAGCGCCAAGTGGGTGCCTGAGAAGAATGTGGTGCAGTGGAACATCAAATCTTTCCCTGTTAGTGTGGCCTGTAAACAAAATATATCATGTTGTCATTACTGATATTTTCTCACAGACACTCACAGGCATAGCGCTTCTCAACAAGCAGCAATAAATAATAGATTAAATCAAATAGACTGAAAACGACAGACATTCTTTAGCTGTTTTGGAAAAGTGTTTTCCATTTATTCTTTTATTCATACAAAATCAAATATTAGTCCCTTAAAAGTAAATACTGCCCAGAGAGTGAGCTGCCTTGACCGAGGTTTGCGTTCTGAGAGTGCTTCCTGTTTATACTATAATTCATATACTCTGATGTATGTTAGACGCATGTGTCCATTTTTCAAAACGTACAGCAGATGGCGCAAATTCTGCTTTTGCTTTAAATGTAGTGGCTCAGGACCAACTATGGATCCACTATATATATATATATATATATATATACATATAATATAGTGGATATATATATATATATATAGTGGATATATATATATATATATATATATCCACTATATATATATATATATATATATATCCACTATATATATATATATATATATATATATATATAGTGGATATATATATATATATATATATATATATATATCCACTATATATATATATATATATATATATATATATATATAGTGGATATATATATATATATATATATATATATATCCACTATATATATATATATATATATATATATATATAGTGGATATATATATATATATATAGTGGATATATATATATATATATATATATATATCCACTATATATATATATATATATATATATATATATCCACTATATATATATATATATATATATATATATATAGTGGATATATATATATATATATATATATATATATATATATATATCACTATATATATATATATATATATATATATATATAGTGGATATATATATATATATATATATATAGTGATATATATATATATATATATATATATATATATATATATATATATATATATATATATATATATGGAGGTTTTTAAGCTCCCCTTTTCCCAAGTGATGCTTTGAAAGCAGAGCAGCAGCAGCTTGATGCACTTCTACATAATCCTGAAACAGAATATCTGTCAGAAATGAAGATGTGTTGTGACAAATATTAGACAGCAGCCATTTATCACTTTATCGCCAACCTCCCAGCATACAAAACCAGACACAATCACATCTTATCTCCCCTATTTTCCACTTTGTTTTCAGTTTGTGTCAGTTTCTGCTCTGTAGGCTCCTCAAAGGAAATTTAACTGGCTTGAAGCTGAGGTTCTTTTATCTGTCAAGTCTTGATATCCCCTTTTGTAATTCATTACACATCTAATATGTCAGGGAGGGTTAGCAATTGCAGCTGTAAAGTATAGTTGACTAACTTGCGTGTGACTGTGCAGAGGATTTTTCCATCACTCGCAACCTTTGTACCCTGTAAAAGGACGTATTCTCTCCAGTCTCGAGGTTTAGATTGAGGAAACAAACAGAAAGCGGTTATAGAGAGCGCTCATTCACAGTCAACCAGCTGTGAGCTCCACCCAGCTACGTCTGACTCTGTTTTTATAAACACCAGAAATGTTTATGCAGCATTTATAAGTCAATTTGCCTTCAGCTATTTTATAAGCATGAATATATGTATCTTTGACATATTTATCATTTATTGGATATTTCTTATCAGCCTTAAGCGAGGGCAGAGCTGATAAGGTTTCCCATAGCAACCGTATAATGACAAGAAAAAATGTTTCATAATCAGTTCAACAATGAGGCTTTTTTTTTTTGTTTGCAGTTATTTCGGTTTGTCGGTTTATTGAAGTTTAGAAACGACATTACCAAATGATTATTATGCTTAATCAGCTTCTTCCTGTGACAGATGGGTTGCTGCATGAATGCACAATTTTCCGCCACAGTTAGAATAGTTATTTTAAAGCAGAGTGTTTCTGTGTTTGGGCTTCTGCCTGAGCTCTTCTCTTCGGTTCGATGTGGGCAGGGTTCAGGCGGACAAAGGTGATGTCACATACAACAGCGTTTCAAAATTGTAATGACACTTGTGTTGTTTTTTTTCCTTTGTTGCCAGGCTACTTGGACAGAAAAAAAGAAATTCACTTGCACAGTACTAGTGAAGCAGAATAGATTAGTTTTTGTTTTTTGTTTTTCTTATTTTTTAACAAATGAACAAGAATGCTCCAGTTGTCGCTTCATCACTCTAAAATCAATCCATCCAACCGTTAGCTTGAGCTGCTTATTATTTAAAAAGGTCCTCGGGTGGCTGGAGCTGGAACCAATCCTAGTCGACTTTGGGTGTAACAGGAACACCCAGGTTAAAGTCAACAGTAAATATATTATATTATGTGGTTTATATTATAAACCAAGTGAATAGGAGGCTTCAAGAAAGTCGAGCCAGAGAACAAACTTGCATGTGTTTAATATAGTATATGCTAAATCCTAAAAAAAAACTATATCTGATTCACCTTGATATGATAAGGTAGTTGCCTCGTGTGGCTGTGTGTATTAACTGGAATGGGACGCCCCCTTGAGACATGAGCTTTATAAATGGCATCATCCTAAATTTAAGAGTTTACCTAACAGACCCAATAACAGCTCTGTGGCCTTTTCTCTTTTCTGTTTGGGTGTCTAGGGGGGTAAGGAGTACGTGATGCGAGCACACTTTGGGCTGCCCAGCGTGGAGAGTGACGAGCTCGAGGCAAAGAGACCAATCACAGTTAATTTTGAGATACCCTATTTCACTGTGTCTGGGATTCAGGTAGGAGATGACAACACACCGTTTGCCTTCACTGCCTCCTTGTACAGCTGCATTCTGTAAAGTAAAAATTATTACTGGATTAAATGGATAACTTATTAAGTCATCTTTTAAGTTTATGGCAACGATCTCCTTACACACTTTGTCTCAATTCACTCCTTGTTGAATTTAAACCATAGAGCAAAACTACCTTCACATTCCAATGTCTTTGGTATTTAGGTCATTTATAAATGAGCTCTACCTGACTACATTAGAGTTCACATGTTTCAATTTTACCTTCTCTCTTTTGTTACAACCCATTAAAAATGAGACATTTTTTAGTTCTTCAGAATGTCTTTTATTTCTTCAGTTAGTGAGAAGAAAAAACAATCAAAATGTGGAGATCTGTGGTTTTCGCTAGATAGAAGGCATTTATATCTGCTGTAAATGAACTGACAGAAAGCTACCTGAGCGCACAGTCTGTTTATAGTAAACTGTAATGTCAAACCACTAAAGAAAATGAGGGTTCATAATGTGTTTGAATGAGTGAAATAACTGTAGTTAAAATGTCAATGTTCTCCCAGGTGCGCTACCTAAAGATCATAGAGAAGAGTGGTTACCAGGCGTTGCCATGGGTGCGCTACATCACGCAAAGTGGAGGTGAGAAAATAACGCAGGGAAGTGGAATTCATTACAACTCACCCTTAAAAACAAACACAAACACTGCAGATTGGCCACTTAGGACCACTTTTTAACTGGAAATGCTGCTGCTCTGATTTGGCAGCACGGTTGATGAAGTTTAAGAGAATAATTTTACAAATACTTTTTGAAGGATGAAACTTTCATGTACGACAGAGCTGCAAATGTCTGCATCTGTGGTTTGAAAGCCCTTGGATTTAAAATTGCATTTCTCTCATTAAGTAATAATGTAGTCAAAGTAGTCATCATATCGAGAATCATTTTTGTTTTTAGGAAATTGTTCTCAAAAGTCTAGGCAATCAGGGAAGCAAGAATAATTATTCTAATTTAAAACATATTCACAATTTTCAAAAATACTCATTCTTAGCTTTGTCCAAATAATAGCATTAAGATAGTTGGGGGTAGCAGACCTGTGACAACATGGACCTCAGGTGGTTAAGGTTTCAGATAAAGATAACTGAAAAGCGTTTTTTTAAGGTCATTATAAGCTAGAGGAAAAAAGAAAAAACACAGTTTGCTTCATCAGGACTGTGTGTCTCATCTCATCCACAGATTAGCTGAAAAAACCATCACATAAAACATGACAATTAACATCAAGTGTCGGAAGACTACACGGTGCATATTTTGAACTTTTTTTGGATTCCAAGTTGGTGTTCCTAGAAAGACAGAGGAGTAAATTCCCAAGAGAGATCAGAGTCACAACCGGTCTTACTGCATCAGTATTCAGTGTGTGTCCCTCGAATGAACCCAGCTGGATAGCATCTATCATATCTATTACCTGGCTCTATCACCACGAGCCATGTCATCAGGGGCTTAGAGTGACAAAATGCAGGTTGCCAAGGATAGAAACCTTCTGGCTTCTTCGAGGCTTAGGTAGCGTGTTTAATGTCCAACTTTGAACAGAAACAGCCGAATTTCTGCAGCAACGTTAGCACCTGGGATCTTGAGATTCAGTTGCTGCCCTGGGAATGAACCCACATCCGTCAGCTGCTGACAACAAGGGCGACAAGGACCAAGAAGTGTTTGTCAGCTTTGAGCTTGTTTCATCCCATTAACCTGAGATGTTACCTGCAAAGCATGTTGAAATAAAAAGCAACACCTTCGCCCCAAACACACACATGTCATTTGAACAGGTCAGTTTAAAGCTGCAGTGTATTGATGAGACTGCAGCAAAGTCCTCCACACAGGCTCACGGGTTTCAGTGGGGACGCAAATGGTAATGATATGGAGATGGGAGTCCAGTACCTCTGCTGGACAACCGCCAGAAATCTTCAAGTTTCATACCTGCTATCTGCCCCAGGAATGAACCTGACTGCATTACATCAATCATATCCATTACCTGGCTTTGTCAGGGATGAGTCAGGGGATGCAGAGGTTGAATGATACCACAGGGTGCCAGGAGGCTCCCAGGGTGGCAACTTGGCAAATGCCAAGGTTACGATCACCTTGCTGTAACATCAGCAGAGAAGCAAAGGAGAGAAAGCGAGAGGGATCGAAAGGAGAAAAGACGAGAACAAGTTAGAGAAGGAAAGGGGACGAAGTTTGGGTGACTTGGAGAGATGGCTATTCCCTTTCTCTTACTGTTAACATCAGCAGCACACAGAGGGAGACGGGCGCGATCACATTTCACTCGACACTACAGGCAGACACACTCACACTGATTAAATAATACCCTGATGCTGTGTACTGTAGCTGGTGGCTCATTAATGATTGATGAACAGGCATTTGCTTGTACTGTACAGCAGTAAGTCAAAGTGATGACCACTAATATCTGACTGATCAGGTGATGATGCACATTAGCTGGATGTTTAACATGACACATCACTGATCCAGGTTGTCACTGGATCCGGTTCTTGATATCATAAAGGACTGCTTTATTTCAGTGGAACCACATCTGCCCCCGTCTCACCCTCTGTCTAGCATCCTCCTCTGTCACACCAACCCTCTGCATGTCCTCCTTCACTAAATCCATAGAGAATCTTCTCTGTGGTCTTCCTCTTCCTCCTTCAGGGCAGCTCCATCTTCAACATCCTTTACCCAATATATCCCTCTTCCCTCCTCAGGTCCTGCCTGTCTTACTTTCTCCACTCTTACTTTGTAAATGAACCATCTACTTTTAGTTAAGCAGATATTTAATCCCCCTTTTTTCTTGCTGCTATTACCAACATATCTGTGCTCACCCTGACCCCTGGAAACACCCTAAACTCACCTCTTTCACTGAGTTGTTGATATTTAACTCACCGTCTTGTAAGTATTATGTGCCAAACTCTGGGAAACTATTCAAAGGCTGTGTTGTCAGGATTTTTTGTTGTTTTTTTTATTTAATATATATATATATGAGCATGGTTCAGTTAACACACACTCTGTATTCTGTGCCACTGATATTTACCTTAAGTTCAAGTTCAAAAGAGTCAAAACAAAAGCGCATAACATATCGTTAGCTTCATAGCATAATTGCCTAAGTCATTTGACTAAGTCAATGACTTAGGCACTTATGCTATGAAGCTAACGATATGCAAATGGGATGTTCGCATACTTCTGTTTCATCTTTTTTGTGACACCTCCGGGGGTGCACACGTGCATCGTAATTATTCTGTACACCTTGTTTTGAGATTTAATGGCACCATTATAAAGTGGTAGTGATGTGCAAGAGCACTGAGGGGAAGCAAGCTGCACGTTAATGCTCTGCTGTTACGTCTCTTGGCAGATTACCAGCTCCGGACGAACTAAAGGGCACAGACGCTGCTAGACGAATGGATATTTTCTTTCTCTGTCTGTCTTCGTCTCGCCTCCATTTCTCCAGATTTCTCTCTGCAGCGGACAGCAGAGGACAAGTGCAGGAGGACAATTTTTTTTTCCTTCCCCTTACACTGAATGGCAACAGGATGTCATCCCTTCCTCTAAAACTAACTTGACTCAGACGGGAAAGTGTGGTGCAACACCTCTGACCTGTAATTTCTATTTCAGATTCCTCCGGTCTTCAGTAAAGCGTAAATAATAAACTGAGCCTCACTCTAAATGAACATGGAGGGCTCATTTAGAGTGAAGTTTCTGGACTCATTTTTTTCTAGTTTTCTTCAGAAAGGGAAAAAACATGTTATTGTAGTTTTCGAAACATGGTCAATTTGGGCTGCTCAGCTTGTCCAGTGGCTTTCTGCTGAGTACTATGTAATCTGACTGATTATGTAGTCCCAGTGTACAGCAGCTGTGATTGTTTATCACCACTTGTTATTTCTTTAAGGGCCATAATGTTGCAGACTGGTGATTTTTCTCTATATTGAAAAATGCCAAGTACTCAAGTTACATGTGGTTCCAGGCAGGATCTTAGCTTCAACACAAAACCAGTCAGCATCTTTAACATTCGTCTTTCTCAATCACTCCTATGACCCGTCTTTCATATTCAGTGGTTGATTTTTGTCCTCTCGGAGCATGTTTTTTTTCTAGAACCTCTGTGTTAAGATACAATAGAACATTAAGATATAATAGAACCATACCAAATATAAAAACATCTATTTATAAATAGACGCAGGCATTGCCCCCAAAAATGCCTGCGTCTCATCAGCCCTAGCACTGTGAACTCCAGTGCACTGAAATTAACACCAGCAACCAGATCAATGATTAATAAGGCACAATATTGTCAGAGGCATCGGCAGTGTAACTCGACACACTCTCATGGGGCCTGTAACCTTGTCCTTGTGCTCAAAATCAGCTTCCAGCTCTGAGCACATACTGAAGGAATGAAAAAGGTGGGGGGGTTTGGGGGTTTCTTTTTTTTTATCCTTATATCTGTTGTTTATACTGTAATCACTAATCACTGCCATGTGGAAAGGAGACTTTAAAGGAAAACAGAAGGGGGTACAAAGGTAAAATTAACCTGAAGAGAGTTTGTGTGCAGAATGTGAGAATATTGACAAAATGGTGAAGAATTCTTTCCCCCAGGATTCTTCTCGACTCCCTCTACTGTGCACGCTTTTCACCACATCAGTTCAGCTGCATTGCTAACAACACAGAAGAGTCCTGAGTCATTTTTACCATGTTTGCTGTTAAAACAAAAACATACTATTACAATCAGTCCTTTTCTTTTTTCATGTGGAGACCTGTTTGAGACCCCAGTGACGATTTTAATAGATCTGTGTTATGTGTTTTGATTAATTTATCAAGGACAATTTGTCCATAGGGAACAAAGGGATATATTTGGAAATAAAACATTTTGTATCTTGTTATGGGATATCAGTGTTTTGTTTGTTTGGTTGTAATTTTTGCACATAGTTCCTTACTACATTGGTCAAGCAAATTTTAATATTTGTGGGTGAAATAATGTTTGCCAGCTCTGAAATGTAGATCAACAATCTGTCACATTAGTGAACAGATCTCAGATTAGTGCTCCATTATTATTCTGAGTTAACGGCATAAAGGCGCTACATTAAGGTGCAATTCTTTTAAATGATTAGTCTGACATTTTGTGAAATATGCTAATAAATTCTTGCGGGACGTTAGATCAGGTAATTGATGCCATTCTCATGTCAGTTTGCTACACGGACCAAAAAAATTAAAGGAGCATTTTGAATATACATGAGATTTCAGTAGGAAAAAAACATGCTGGATATCTATACTGATATGGACTGGGTACTGTTTCAAATGATGCAACATTTTTTGGTGGAAATGACAATAATCAGCCTACAGAGGGCTAAATTCAAAGACACCCTGAAAATCAAAGTGAAAAAATTACACGGTAGGCTAGTCCATTTTTCCAAAATTTAATTTCAGCAACTCATAACGACACTCATGAGGTCCCTTTGTAGAGCTCTGACAATACCAGAGGATGCCCCTAATGAGATGATGGTTGGTGCCCTGAGAGCTATCTTCCCAGGTCTTGACTGGGGCACCACTGAGCTCCTGGACAGTCTGGGATGCAACCTAGTGGCACTGGATGGATGGAAACAAAGTCCTAGAGGTGTTCTATTGGATTCAGGTCAGGCAAAGGGTGGGGACCAGTCATTGGTATCAGTTTTTTCATTTTCCAGGAAGTGCCTGCAAACATACTGCCCCATGAGGCCAGGCTATGTTGTGCACCAGGAGAAACTCAGGACCTACTGCACCAGCATATGACAATCGGACTCCACGGTGCCGGGCACTGAGCACAGGGCCAACTAGCAGACGTCAGCCCCTCAAAGCCACTCTCATGAAGTCTGCGTCTGATTGTTTGATCAGAGACATTCACAACTTGTGACCTGCTGGAGGTCATTTGGTAGCTCTGGCAGTGCTCGTCCTGTTCCTCCTTGCACAAAAGACCAGATATCAGTCCTGCTGATGAGTTAAGTCCATTCCAGCTCTCCTAGAGTAATTGCCTGTCTCCTGGAATCTCCTCCATACTCTTAAGACTGTGCTGGGAGAAACAGCAAACCTTCTGGCAATGGAACATGCTGGAGGAGCTAGACCACCTGTGGCATCACTGTAGGGCCCTGGTATTGCCTTGTGTTACCAGTAGTATTACCGCAGACCCTAGCCAAATGCCAAATTAGTGGGAAAAAAACAATTAGTGGCCTCCACCCCTAAAACCATTTGTATTTGGGGATTGTCTCACTGTTGCCCCTCCTGTTGTTAATTTCATCAACACCAAAGCAGCTGAAACTAATTAAAAACCCTCTCTGCTACTTAATTGACCAGGTCAATATCTCAGAGGTTTAACTGACTCGATGCTGTACTCTGATTAAAAAGTGTTCTTTTGTTTTCTGGCATGTTTTGGTTGCCTGGGGTTAGGGATAATTGTTATCTAGTTAGACCACAGACAGCTAAGTAGTCATTGGAATAAATGTGTGCAAAATGCTAATGCATAGCGTTAAGCTAGAAGAATTGTGAGTAGAATTTGAAGGGCCGCCATATGCATCTTCACGTCTCACCCACAGATGTTGTTTGGCGTTTCAGCAATACTGTGTTCAAAATGAAGCCTAGTTTTGGAATCAAACGAGAACTCCATTCAAATGCAATGTGGGGAAAGTCTTAAGCAAACAGGATGCACCTGAACAAAGTTAGGAGGGCCACAGTACAAGGTCTGAATATTTTAGTAAATCAGAATTTGGATTTTTTTTTTGTTTTATTCTTCAGCGGAAAAAAACGTGTTTTTACTGCAGTGTAAACTTGTGGACAAGAATGACCACTTTATCCTTTTAAGATGAATTTAACAACACGATACCAAGCAGAAGAGCGGTCTGAATGTCTTTCAAATCCAGTGTATAGCAGAGAAACAATTTGTCCAGTTTTTGTATTCTTTCTTCTGTTTAGCTTGACAGAAAAGCTCTGAATTCTCTCCTCCCACACAGTCCTCTCTCCTCAGTATCAGAACTGCCTCCCAGTTCGCTCTGTTCACCTCTTCTGGCTGTCATGCATGGGTTCACAGCCAGTCATTTCTACTGTATAGGCCACTGCAGGTCAAAAGGCAAACTTATGTAAGTAAAAGTCAGAGGATTTCTGTGTGTTGTCAAAATCCAGCAGGGTCCATGCTATTTTATTTTTCTCAGTGTGTGTGTGTGTGTGTGTGTATTGAAAGAAAGTGGTGCTGGTCTATGCCAGCCCCCACAGATCACTGTGTTGTGCATTGTGCCTTCAGCTTGCTGTCCATCATCACACCAACAATGGTTAACTGTGTGACCCTTTTGTCTCAAGGCAGCAGCCTGTGCGTATGTGCGGACAGATAAGAGGCGTTACTGACTTACATACGCACACACAACAGAAACACAATGCAAGGCCATTTTTTAGGTTATTCTGTAAGTGTTTCGCAAACACGAATGACCTTTTGCATCTTCTACTCTGATTCTGTCCTTGCGTCTTAAAAGTATCGAACGAACTTTTCCAAAAGGACGAAACATGATTGCTTTTGCGATATATTTTTTATATATATATTTATATATATTTATATTTCTGGAAACAAGAAGGATTAAATTATACCAAAGCTATATTTTCAGCAGCATAGCGTGGAGTTGTCCAATTCAGAGAAAAACTCACGTAGACATATCGACAACCTAGTTTAAACGATTGCAAATGCACTGAAATTCTATGACTGGCCAGGCTGATGCAATGGATTTAATTTCACTGATTTTTCTTCGTCTCAGCTTTGTGAGGAATGATTATGGCTTATTATCTGAGCCAGAAATAGCCCACATCTAATAAATTCAAAGTGCCGAGACTACAGATGACACCTCCAGCTATGCACCGCGGTTAAATTAAAAGTGTATTTTTGTAAAGTCTCAGTATTATTTAGAGAAGTGCAATAGTGGTAGTTTTGGTATCTTAATGAGTTTTATTGTAAATTTAAAAATAAATCTGGATTAATGCATGATCTGAGTAATGAGCCAGTAGGTCAGTACGAGTGTCACACCAACTGGATGTTGTTCTCTAAAGTTTAGTTAGGCAACGCAAAGAGACGTGCCATGGTTCCCACAAGAAAACTGTCAGCAGCTTAACAAGACCTCTCATAAGAAGCATCTGTGATCAAGGTGATCTTCTGCATCCTCATTCCAAAGATTCTGGACCATCTTTTCAGGATCACCTAAAGCTTTAAGGAAATCATGGCTATAAGATGAGCCTAGTGCCAAAAGGAGAATTGGAATGAGAGCTTTCGGATTCAACAGCATATTTTGACCAGCCAAGTATCCCACACGGTGATGTGACCCATGGGAAGTTTTTCCTAAAAGGCACCTTCTGAAGTTTTCACCAGTGGATTGCCAGAAAGTAAATAAAACGTCCAGTGTGCCAATGCTTGTTTCTGCTACTCTATGTGATAGACATTAAATTTGCCTAGTTTTGTCACTGAAACTATAATATAGCCCATGAGATTAATGCTCAGAGTTGGTTATTAAAAAACATTTTTGATAAACAAAAAGATTTTAGCTTCGCATTGTGTCACTTGGAGTGGTTGAAAAGGTGATTCTATTGCGATTTTTAACAAGGCTTAAATGTGGTTTCTTCAGAATCATCTCCCGTACTTTAAACTGTAAATTAAAAAGCACAAAACCATCCAATATGTACTTTGAGGGATTGTAACTCAGAAAATATTCACATTTTTAAGGTAAAATTTCACATAGTTATGTCAAAGGTAATGAAATGATTTTACTTTGAAGAAAAATGTTGATTCTAAGTTGGCTAGGTGGGAGGCACTGATTGATTTTGATTCATGAAATAATCCTTACTTATAACGTATTTGCTTCTTGAGGCCAGTTCTGCCATGCTGTCATGTTGTTCTTGTTGGAAACACCTTAAATAGACTGGATAAATGCATTCCCATACACAGCTCATACACACAACTTTCCTTATGGATCTCTGCATTTCCTGTTGGTTCCAAGTTTAAAGTCCAGATGCCCTTTTTTTGCCTTTCCTCTAAAGCATACTGGCTATTGTTTTTCAGATTCCCTTAGAGTGCCATCAGAGTAAAATGTGCCCCTTGCATCACCAGCTGTAGATAAAACTACCATGAAAGCAGCTGAACGTGGGTTTGTCCAACAGCACAAGATGTAATTTTAAGTGTGTAGCTGACATCAAATAAAGACTCAGTCTGAGCACAGCCATGAGCCAATCCTTTATCTAATAAAGAAATAATGAATACTGAGTAGGCTATTTATGGCTGAGAATGTGAACAACATGTTGAAAATTGTTGTGGCAAATGTGATGCCATCACAAGATAGTGGGTACAAAATCAGAACTGGAGACTAACTCCTATTATTTAAGCCTTAATCCAGCAAGATTTGCATTATCTTTTTTTGGTGGTATCAAAACTCTAATGCTCACCCTGGCTGCCCACCTGGACAATGAGAGAAATCCATGCAACAAAGCGAGACTAAATGAGTCTGCAAAGCTTGGTGGTTGTTCTTTATGACCTCCACGTTATTTTAAATGAATGTTTTACAGTACACAGTGGAATGCGATGCCGTGACGATATCAAAAATCTCGATTAACACTGGTTTAAGATAACAAAGCGCCGCGAGAGTCACAATTAAGACAGTACAGTGTTGATGCACAAAAAACACAAGTTATTCATACATTCTAAAGTGCTGTGATACAAGTCTCCAACAATCACATTTGACAGGCTGCCACAAACACTATACCTCCGCAGCATGAATTTTGTTAAATTATTATTAAACCGAGGCAATAAAACTCCCAAAGAATCCCTCGTATTCATCATCCCAGAAACTGCAGAGGCAATATTTTCACATATACACGAAGATCATGAGGATGGGATATGAATCAAAAATTATAAATAGGATTTTGTTCATGTTCATACTGTCCCATTTCTTGCAGATTCCATCTTATTCAATTTCCATTTCATCCATTCAGATGACACTCTCATCTGCAACTACGAGAGCCTCAGTGAGCAGGTAGTGGTCAGATGTATGGTCCCTGGTCAGTTATCACAGATGCAAATCACATGCATAAATTTGAATGTGCCGCCCTCCAAATGAGGACTCAAAAAACATTACTTCATCTTTTAGAGAACAAGATGGGTTTGTTTGGTTGTAGGCTTACAGTTCTTGGAATTGATAGACAGGGAATAGCTCAAAGTTCATTCATGGACTTTACTCCTGCTGTAGGTTAGCTGTACTCAGTTGTAGCTTGCTTCTCCTGTGGGATAAAAATTGTGCTTGTAATTTATCAGAACTGGCTTAAATATTTTTTGTTGTTGTTCTGTGTGTCTTCTCCATGCTGTTTAGTATTTGTCCTGTGAGAATGGAGTAACATTTACCCACTATAGATAAAAAGCAGACCATCACCATGTGTTCGGTTCTTCTGGCATTTTCCATTTTTGCATCCTTACTCACAGAGATCTGACTGCCAATAACTAACGTGTTCACTAAGAATATACTACACACTCAACTATTTTATCTCGTACGCAGTCTGCCGAAGCATGCATGGTATGAATCTGTGTCTGGGCATAAAGCCAGTTCTAATTTAGTTGAGCCAGTGGGCAAAAAAAAGCTTTATTGGGGTTGCATCTCATATAAGGTTAGCCAAACTGGAGGTAGTCTCTCTTCGAGCGTGACGGTCCATATGTCCTGAAACAGTGAAGATGTGCAAAACCCGGTCTACAAACCGCCGTCCGTGCCTCGTCCTCTCAAGAAGGATCACCACTACAGAGTATATCCCAACACCCACAACTGCAGCTCCACCTCCAGCCAGCAAAACCACTCCAGAAATGTACATGTCATTAAGGGCTTGGCCAGGCTTTGGCATACGGTTGGCAAGGGCCAGATGCAGTAGAACCCCTCCACAAATCAACAGTGACAGCCCGGTAATTAAAACCACTAGAAGGTCCGATAAACCACCGCTCTTTAGCATGTCGATCCGCTGTCGGCTCCGAACGCAATTCATGTCCTGCACAGCTGAGCTGAGAAGTTGTTTGAGCAGGACTCCCAAGGCTAGCAGGCACAAAGCTGTGCCCGTGCCGAGCCGCCACTCACTCGAGACGCTGGTGGTAGTCGAAAGAAGGCCGACGCCCCCAAGTCCGCAACCCAGGATGAGAATCACAGCGACACAGTAGCAGAGGAAAGACTTCCCAGGATCTCTGAACCACCACAGCTCGACTTGTTCCTCTAGGATGCTGTGCTGAATCTGTGCTGGGTCTGCTGGACCATTAAGGCCCAGTTCAGGACTCCTGGCTTCCCTTGCGGGGGGAAGGTTGTCCAGCTCCGGCATTGTAGTGGTACTCCCAGCCTGCTGAAGAAGGATGCAACCACCACAACGAGGGAATGAGAATCCACAAGGTTACTTTGGTCCTTCCTAAATCTACCAAAGGTTACTGCAGGTCAATCAGGACAAGCAAGAGATTCCAGAAGCTTTATGGGGGAATTTGCTCAAAATTATCCAGAAATTTTTCGATTTTTAGCAGATCTAAAAAGAGGTTAAATGTAATTCCCCAAAAATGTTCCAAAAAATTTTACTGAGATCAGTGTATTGTATTTTATCCACAATGGTCTGTACTCAAAGGTTCCACAAAGTTAGTTTGGATGTATTGTTCCTGAAAATTCATGGAATTTCTTGTAGTTTTTCTTGTAGTTAACACCGGATACAGAGTCAGATCCCAGTCATCCTTAATGCGTTAGTTTCTGAATCAAAGAATCCACACATCGGCAAAAGTGTTAGTTGGTAGCAGTCACCTAGAAGACAAGACATACAGTTCATTCAGTGCTGTAGGTGGCCTCTCCAGCTTACTTAGTTAGATAACTGTCTTACTAACTAGTACATAGATTCAATTCCTAACCAAACAATAAGTCACAGCACAGAAATGCATGGATAAGAAGTGCTCGTCTATCATTTCTTCCCCAAGCACAACGTGGAGAGGAGTAATAGCTTAACTTTCAGATCAATTCAATTCAATTCAATTGAATCTACACAGCACCAAATCACAACAACAGTCGCTTCAAGGTGCTCTAACCACCCACGTTCAACAGTGTCTGGCTAAACACAGGCTTATATACGAAGACTTTACTTCTGTTTCTTCCTTCTTGTTTTTAAGGGTCTCTTTGTTTTCCACACCCTGAAGGATGTGATCAGTACAAGATAAGTTAAAGAAAAACTTCAGACCAGCTAAAAATCCTCTGCATGCTGAGCTCCAGAGATTGAAGTTCTTTGCCTCCTATTCACCAACAAGTTTGTTTTTTGTTTCTGCTCTTTTATTTTCTGACACTGTGTGAAACCTGAGAAGCAACGAGCACAAACAGTGTTATTCAGCTCGGTGTCAAGTTTCTCTTTAAAAATTTTAAGTTTGTGTATATTTTGCAGCAACGGATAAAAAGCAGACAAATTAAAGACACGTACACACACATATACACACACAAAGTTTCTATGTAAAAAAAAACTTGGTGTGCTGACACCGGCAACCTTTTCTTTCTCTCGTTATCACTATGGTAATGAGTTGCCACTACAGAGGCGGCTGGATAAAAGGAGCATCAGCTGTCGATAGAATAAACAATTCCTATCCACGCACACACTGAAAATCAAACAGCTAATCCACAAATGTAAATTTTCGTTCTTTTCATCCTTCCAAACAGACACCCACACAGCCTCACTTGACGAATCTTTCTATTACCTTGAGTCCAGTAAATCTTCTTTTCCTTCCTCACATGCACTGTTAACACAAATTGGAGTAAACCCCCCAAATCACCACCAACCCTTTATTTAACCTTCTTGCTGACCTCAGCACATTTAGCGTCCACACTGTAGTTTGTAACCTCTTCACACACCCGTAACACAGTTATGTAAACAAACAGCAAGCAAACAACCTCAAGGTTATGGCTCTCCACAGCTTGTCTTTCAAAAAAAAAAAAACTGTCTGCGGCTTTATTTCTATCAAAGTCACAGGCCCACGCTGTCCAACAGAAGCTGACAGTAGTCACAGTTTGTCCTCAGCAGTCGTGGATCCAAATTGAAATTGAAATCGCATCTTTGAATCCCCCCCCACACACACACAGACACACACGCTGTTTGGAAAAGACTAAACAAACATGCAAGATCACATTTCTTGTCAGTATGGACAGGTACCGCCTTGTATCGAGGTGGAGCAGTTATACCGTGACACGGGGAGATATGAGTTGCATACACAAGGTGTGAAATGAAGAGTGAGGTAATTACAGCCGAGGAGGAGGGTGTTTATTGGCAACATGCTGTTCTGGAAGCTTTTCACATCCTGTATCTGGTGGAGTGCTGTGTCAGTATGTGTGCGCGCGCGTGTGTGTGTGTGTGTGGTTGGCTTTTTTACAGTTGTAGATAAGTAGTTAAAAGAAATGCTATAAAAAGAACATGTGACTTATCACGTTTAATCATATGATAAGCCTGTGCATGTTTCACTGAGTATCTGCATTTGTTTTCGCATATGTGCACGTGTGTGTCTCTGTGTGTGCACCTGTGCATGTATGTTGAGTCACTAATTAATCCCAGCTGATTTGAGCTCAGTGTCACTGACAGGTGAGGCCAAAAACACAGCACAGTCACTGAGATGAAGAAACATATGATTTAAGGTGAAAAAAAGAAAGACGCTACAACGCCACCCAAAGCTGTGAAACTATCCCTTTGATTCCTGCTGAACTCGTTTATGAGACATTATTTATACTCTTTCGTTAAGCTCCTAGTAACATGAAGCGCGTGATCAACAGGGCGACAGAGCGAGAGGCACCGGCACGTGACACAAGATGAAACTGAACCCTCGATGACGCGAGTATATCTTACTTCATGTTCTGTTTTTCGCAGTCGAATCCCCACAGAGACAAAACACAGACACAGAACTGCTGGGCTGTGTCTGCCTTTCTTCTTTTTATCACTTATATGACCTCTAAACCCTGTCATATCATCCGTGTCTTATTGGCTTCATAAATATCTCCACAAAAGCACTGACTCACTGCCTAACTCTGTGCTGGCCTCCTTTTAAGAAATAGAAAAGAAGTAGAGAGGCACAAATAATTTACACAAACAAATTATTCAGTTTTTCCACTGTGCTCTGCTCAAGTCACTAATGTCAAAAGTTGACTTTTTTTTCTTTAGTAAAAGCTTGAAATAATCTTTGGTTGTCAGTCTGAAACCTTGATACAGTCTGACACAGATTGTGAATGAGGTAGGGCCATCTCCTCATGCTTGAAAATTCAAAAAGATTTTGCGGCACTGCTGTTGCCCGAAGTCATCTTCATCCCACTGTTTTACACCCGTGCGCTAAAACCTTCAGTGCACCATGTCTAACGATGAATCTTCACACCTTTAGCCGTCGATTCACACTCCCACAACTCTTGGCATATTCATAAAATATAGATCCGCAGATGCACTACTGCCGCTGACTGTAAAACTCAGTGAGGCTGAGTTGACAAGCAGCATTATTGAGAATCTGCTTCATCCCTTCATTTGGACTGACAATCCCGGCACTTGTCGTGACCTATGAATGTGGCAGGTACTTGCATATCAAAAATGTGCTGATTATAAATCAGCACATCTTGATGTCTAAAGTAGCTTATAAAGGCATTTGAAAGCTACTCTAGTGATTATTATTTAAATTTATCAGAAGACACAGTGTCTGAAGACCACCGTAGATGGCTGTCTTTTAAGTGACAGGAATAATAAGTGTGTCATGGACACTCAGCTCTGCAGAAGTACTGACATGATTGAAATGGGCTGACACTACCAGTAAAAACATTCTCTGTACTGCTAATGCAACCAAAACTTAATTAAAGTCATTAAAAATCCCAAAGACACTGTAATTGTAAGCCCCGGACACAGAGTATCATCCTCTTTCTCTTTCGCTCTCTCCGTCTCTGCTACGTTTTCAGCCCACAAGGTCACAAGAGGAGCTGTGCTTTAGAATAAAATACAGTATACCTCACTCCAATTACCTGGGAAGCTTTGGGACTCCGGTATTCCCGCCTCTGTTATGTTGGCCAGCTGAATTCATTTCACCGGCCATTAGTGCCTCGTTTTACTGTTGATGAGGGGTTCTTTTTAAAGTTGGATGTCAGGATATCGTATGCTAATCAGAGTGCCGGTCAGCAGAGTTTGATAGAAGAGAGCAAAAGCATCCAAAGAAAGTGAAGTAGGCAAAATTTTGCTTATTTTAAAAATGCAAAGAAAGAAAGAAAAATGCAGGGACTCAGGTGGGAGAATGAAAGCGTAATAACCCCAAAATGAAGTGGATGTTTGAGTGCTTGGCAAAGGTGCAGTGCAGAACGTGGTAGCTTACAGCAGATAAAAGCATGCGTTGACATCCAGGGAAGCTCGGACTGGAATGCAATGCGTATTACGTTTTGACTGTCAGAGGAAAAAAAGAGAAAACAGCTTTATTCAGGTAAGCATAGCACAATGGGAAGTGGCTTGTATGCTGTTTAAAAAAAGCTGAAATATTGTTTGCCAGGCTGTTGCAACTTCTGTGAATTCATTCTGGAGCACACAGACTGGAGGGGAAGAGGAAGTTTGGGGCTCAAAACCAAACTTGTTGTGCTATAGACAGCCTTTCCTTCAGTATTTGCAGTTCATTTGCTTTCCTCTAAATTATGTTCACTATATTTAGAGGTTTTTTTTCCAATCTTCACATCCTCTTACTGCACAAATGTAGAACAAGGCATCAGTGCCAAATAATCAAAGCGAAAATATGTCAGAAAAAAGATAGATCCTTCTGCTCCTGCTGCTGAATTTCCTGCTGTGTGCATTTTTTATCTGAGGACGGCAGGACGGGCTGAAGGGGAGTCCATGGGAGATTAGACGATGTGTTGCTGTGGTGACAAAGCAATGCTGTACTTCCTGTCTCCCCCCCCCCTTTTACACTTGCACCCACCCTCTTCTCCTCTAGTCAGGCGTTGATTCTCTTGGCGTCCCCACGGGCGAAGAGAGGGGTCAGGGTTGGCTCCATCTGTCTATGTGATGGGCATCGGTGCCAAGCGCCACGGGGGCTGGAGGGAGAGGAAAGAAGACTTGTGCGGAGTGGGAGGGTAACGGATGTTTCTGAGCAGTCATCTGGGACTCCGAATGGGGCTGAAACTGGGCCTGGGGAGTGGGAAAGGGGTTCAGGGAAGTGGATTGGGGATAAGGGCGTTAGAAGCAAAGGGACAGAGGGAAAGGCTAGGGGCTAAGGAGAGTGCTGAGACTTCACTCTTGTTCCTGGTATAACAAAGGTGGCTGGCAAAGAAGAATGATGCTGAATAGGTCTTTATGCAGGCAAGCTGGATCTTTCGTCTGTTCTCTAGTCACAATGGACAGGCAAGACACTCGGGGAGCCTCGCTGTGTCCGGAACCAGTGATGAGACAATGGCAGAGTCAGTATTACTGTCCTCACTCTGCCAGGCATCACAAGGGAAAACCTAAGAGAAAAAGAAAAGACTTTTACAGGAGCTGCACATACTGTTCTTTAACCCTATGGTTCACTTTAAAAGCACTTACACGTTCATTCCTCTCCTGTTCTGCCACTGAAATTCAGCTTCTATCCCTCTAACGGCAAGCAAATCACTGTGTTCAAATGTTAAAGATGCTTCAAGTCTACAAACCGGTGCGTGATCGTCAAACTGATTAACGAGCTTAATTAAAATCTTGCACATTATCAAGGAACGGAATACCCAGATGAACCCCCGCAACACCGCAACCAGAACTACGTTTCTTTTTCAGAAACTAATGGTTTGTTTTCAGCTACTGGGGTTTTAAAGATGGCAGTGTGGGTTGGATTTAACTAATTCTATAGCTGGTGGATGGACTACCATGAAATTTACTGCAGGCATTCATTTTCAGTTTGTCCGGCGCCACCCGTCAGGATGAACTTTTGGTCCCGGGTGAAAAGTCTCAACAAATGAGAAGTGGTTCAAGTACCATCTGGGATGATTCATGATGAATCTGTCGATGCCTTAAATTTTAATCTTGTGCCATTACTAATTAATTACTCTAGGTGTGATTAAGCCCAGAGGGAACACAGTGGAAGTAGTTTGATGTGATTCCTGGAGTGCTGCAGCGAGAAACTGCTACAATCACACTTCAGCGTGCGACTGTACCTGGCTTCGGGACCTTTGGGGTGGACAGGGACATTAATCTAAGTGGTAAGAACAAATGTGAATGGATTGCAGTAGTTGTGATTAAAGAAAAAGTGGTTTAATACCAGATATGTTACTGCAAAACAATGTTTCTCGATTGGATTCCTCCATCAGCTGCCACAAAGGTCATCCAAATGACCGTGTACGTGGTCGGTAGCTATGTATAGCAAACAGATGCTTACCACCCTCTGTCCATCTTGAATGTATTGTGTCTCAAAGTAAAATGGAGATAATTATGCATGGCTTCTTGTCTTGATTATTTGTTATCCCTTATTCCTCTGCCTGAGCAAATCATCCCTGGATCGCCTACAAATGATCCGGAATGCCTCTTTCACGCACCAGGTCCCATGGGATATAGATTTTGTCTTCCTTACACTGGCTCCCCCTAAAGTTTACGCTTCAGTTAAAACTTTTGGTAAGCCCTTTCAGAGCCCTCCATGGTCAGACAACTCTGTATGTCAGTGAATTACTACAACCAAACATAACATCTAGATCCCTGAGGTCTGTGATTTAGGTTAAAGACAAAAAAATGGTGACTGTGCTTTTGAGGTTGTGGCTCTCTCATACCACAATACCCAAATTCAGTTTAGATTTAAGTTCCTTGTTGTTCCTTCACTTTTTTATAATCCATTTAACTGGGCTCTTCCTTTAGCATAATCTTCTACCTTTATGGGCTATTGAGCTACACGTTTCCGATGTTTTGGCAGATATACCGCAGTAATTTCCAAACTTTTGGGATGAATAAGTTGTTGTTTTCTTACCTCATCTATTGTCAGAAACTTTGGCTAATTGCCAATCCCTTCTACATTAATGGCATTCCCAACTGCTCCACCTGCACTTTGTTGCTAATTAGCTAGCGTTAATATGGCTAACGTGAAAATTTGTCGACATTGCAATCTGATGCATTAGGCAGCTTCACAGAGCAGCTAGTGTGGCTGCAGACCTTCAGTTGTAAGCGATATTAATATTTTTAGATGCTTTAAACTTCCCATTTTCATTCTCCTCCTTACCCACTGCCTCATCTCAGGTGATTTTCTTCCTTCCCAAATGAGCTTTATATCTCAGCTTATGACACAATATCACCCTGACTGGCACGACCAGCCAAGACCTTCCCCCCTGACACTTTATCCACAACCAAGCACACACACTCATCCCCATCTGCTTTCTTCACACTCTTCCTTATCTCCATAGCTTTACACACGTTTCCTCCCTTTTTTCTATGCCTCTCATATCGTTCTCTGTCTCACTACCAGTGCTCCTCTGTGTGGCTACTTCTTATCTTTTCTGTCTGCTCGGGTATTGGGATGTTGTGAAGGCAGAGATGTGCATGGGGTGTGGAGGGGGGATTACTCACAGAGGTCCCTCTGGATTCAGGTAAAAGCCTGTTTGACTCAAAGCCCCATGCAAACATGTGTCATGCACACAGCTACCTGGACCTTTTTCCCTGTTTTGGTGTTTACATTGTTTTCTCCTTGAAATTCTGATGCTATTCTCCCTTCAATCATTCTTGTATTCACATCCCATCATTCCCAACATTAAAAAATATGCCAATTCATCAGCCTCGGTAAAACTGCTGAGTATTGTTAATCCCCAACGCGAACACATGTTAACAATCAAAGCCAAAACTCGATTTGCACAAATTTGTTATCTGGAATATGGTGTTCCTCTCTTTTTAAATAGACGTCTTCCTCTCACTGCTGCTGTTGACAAAAATGTAGACCAGTCTAATTCAGCTTAGCAGAGGCTCTGGATCTCACTCAGCCGGTACGATGGGAGCCAAATGGGGCTTTTAACACACTGAGCGCAATTCAAAATGGCTCGAATATTTCTGCTTCTGTCAAACTGGCTCCTTTACCATGACTCCAGAAATCCAGATTTTTTTTCTTTCTTTCTCTTTTTTTTTTTGAAAGTTGAAGGAAATTAACTGAATGACGTGCATAATGACTAAGTTGTGTAATAACCCTCGGTCCCCGAAGTGGAGGAGTGTTGATTAAAAAAGAAAAAGAAAAAAGGGAAGAACCTCTGTCCAGCCGGTTGCTTTCCCTTGTCATGCACAGCTGCAATATTAAAACGCTAATCAAATCACCAATTAACATGCTGGTCCCCTTCTGCTTCACTCCCGCTGACGATGGAAAAGGCTCACCCCCACCTCCCCATCTTCTGTCTTTGTTTATTTTAACCCTGACCCTTTCCTCTTGTGGGTTTTAAAGGTGATTTTCAACATATTTTAATTTGATATTGGCTGTCTGGTGATGATAATTGTAATGAATGAGATGGCTGTCTCAGTGTCTGGCTATTTCCTCACTACCTGAACTGATGTCTCCATCCTGCAGCTGCACGTTGTGGCTGAACTTTTAATACAGATTTTTAGTCTTAGGTGACAGGAATTTTTTTTGACATCTATGTTCCCCGGAGGATGAAACCTAACAACTATAATGAGCTCCCAACTTTCTCTGTAGTGCCTATATGAGGAGGACACCTGCGGTTAAGTGAGATGTTCTAATGACTATTGTATCGATAAGATTGAAAAAACACTGATGCCCCCACACTTTTATATGCTTAATATGAAACTAGAGCGAGCAGCTTGCTATAATGTTTATATATATCACAGACAGAGAGCCAGCAAGAAAACTGATACATGCCAGAGTATTGATAAAGTTTCAAAAATCTCTCCCCATGCTCTCCTTCATCTCCTCTTCCCCTCACTCCCTTACCAGTCACAACAGATGGCTACCCCTCCTCTGAGCCCGGTTCTGCCCGAGGGTATCTTCCTGTTAAAATGGATCTTTGTCTTCCCATCGTCGCAAAATACTTCCTCCTATGAGATTGTCAGATCATTGGCTCTTTATTTTATTACATAAATTGTACTTGGGCTTGATCTGTAACTTCTTGGAGTCTCTACTGCTCGCAAGTACCTGGAAAGCAAATAGCCTTCCCATCACTGTCGGGTTTTTTTAATAGCACCGTTCTAGCAATAGTAAACACATGTTAATGTGTTAACCAGTTAAAAACAATGACGCAAGTGCTAAAACACCAACATGTTAGCAGTGGACTTAAAGCTGCAGTGCTGATCACGAAGGGAAAAGCAGCCCGTGGATCTACAGCGGCTTCATCAAACTTAAACATGCCTCTTTGTCAATTCAGTCTGTTATAGAAGTAAATAATTGATTGATTCATATATAATGGCAGCAAGCTCCAGCGTAGACTGCACTAACAACATGGTATTTTTTTTATAAGCTGCGTAAGTGAAAACCTGAATCATGTTTGGAAATGCTATTAGTCTCATCTTTTAAAAAGGTGGGACCTCCCACTGATGAGACAAAAGTGGATCCTGCCAACATGATGTGAGGGTTTCAGCGGGAGAAACTGGTAAGGAATACAGGATGCTGACACTCAGCTATGTCTGTGTGTGCAGTAAGCATTTTCTCACTGATAAGTTAGAAATCAGTGTCATTTTAAGCTTACTGTATTTCTGCAGGCTAAGCTGAGGCATTTTTGACATTATTCAGCTTGTGTTACAGACGTTTTTCAGAATGATACGAGTGACACTGTTTTGACTGCAAGTGCCTTCGCTAACCACAGCAGAATGCTTATATAGCTAACATTAACTACCAGCAAAGATTGCCAAAATAATCCTCTGATGTGGTGAAATCTAATATTTTTAGCCAGCTGCAGTCATTTTGCGAGTGATTCAGCCCTTGATTGTGGTGCCCGCTGTTCTCCCCTCCAGTGGAGGTGGTGTTCAGAGGTAAAGCACTATCTCTACAAGCTGCTGGTATGGATGCGTGTAGATGTAAAAACAATCTTGTGCAAACAGCTTAAAGTTATGATCGTCAATTTGATGCAAGTACAAAAGGAAGAATTGCCTTTTCTGAACACAGTCTGGCAGTTTAGCCTCATCTCACCCCTTTATGGAATTCATTATGCTTACTGATGGATGTGTATTATACCCAGGGACAGGAGTGGATGTAGTCATTACAGCTGCTACCGATGCCACACTACATACCTGACTGTGTGCATCTGCTGACGGTGGAGAAAGGGGGATATTTAAGATTCTTGTCTGATACTCTACTCTGATTTGTGTGTTGTCTCAAAGCCAACACACAAACACATACAAAAAACGCACCCTGTGTTGCACGGTTATCCACAGACTCAATCACTGACTCACTTTGTTTTTCTCCTTCTTTCATCCTGCACTCTGTGTTGACTTCAGGCTCTTTCTTAACAAGGTCTATCACATGTTGTTTTCAGCCTGACTTGTTTTTAAGAGTTAGACCTCATCTTAAATGATCCTTAAAGTGCTTTCGGTGTAGAGAGACTGACAGTCAGCATGTAACCTCGGCTCATTAAGATGCCCTGCCATGATTCATCTTCGGCCTTTAGATTAGTACCAGCAGATCAAGAGGTTATGAGCAAAGCAGCAGGGGTCATGCCTGGACAGTCTATTGATCTGTTGCAATTGCGAAGGCTTGAATACAGCTACAACACTCCCTTTCTATGTGGTTTATGGATTTTCCACAATGCAGCAAAACTGATAGCTGAGTATATGACAGCAGCCCTATGAAGTGATGATCTACAGCGTATCTGAAGCCCTATGTGTTTGATAACTGTGGACCAGCCTACCAGAGCAAAGGTTAGTGGGTATGGCATAATGTCAATATCTTTTACTTCCTTGTTTTCCTCAGTATAAAATAGACAATTTATTCTTCTGGGAAAGTCCAGAAAGCATACGAGCATGACAATGCAACTATTGTGGGAAAAGTGACACCAATATCCAGGCACCTTACATCTACATACAATGGATTTCTTTAAGAAGTAGTGCTTACATCTATCATAAGGTAGGTAGGTAGGTAGGTAGGTAGGTAGGTAGGTAGGTAGGTAGGTAGGTAGATAGATAGATAGATAGATAGATAGATAGATAGATAGATAGATAGATAGATAGATAGATAGATAGATAGATAGATTTAGTCTTTTAGTTAAGTCCTTACAAAAGCCAAGAGAGAAAAACACTTTTAAAAAGAGACACGGACACTGACCTTTATATGATAACACTTTAACAGTTTAGTATACAACTTACTAAATTGTTAAATATTTTGTTTTTTAAAAATAAAGGTGCTATGTCCGTGACACCAGCCTGCACTACTGCGCAGATGAGCGCTATTATTACTATTATTATTACTGATCGACAGTGACCTTCTTTTATAATCCTTTTTATAATACTGCTGTTCATTCGGGAATAAAGGAACGTGAATAATGTAGCAGTTACAAAAACTCGCATGTAAGTTTTTAAATAAATCGGATTTAAGAAAAAAAGCCCTTTGTTGGTAAAAAGTTGAAACTCTTCTGTGTTTGGAGCTTGTTTATTAGAAGCCACTCTTACCTGTGCGCTAAGCTGTTCACACTGAATGCCTTCAGCTCCGCGCAGTAGCTGCGCTCGATTTCTTTTCAGTAATTCCCAGCTCGTTGTCCAGATCATCAAAGTCCCACAGCCGTATGTCGCCGCATACCTTCAGCCGTCTTTTGGATGAGAGGGTCCAGAGCAATGAATGTGCCGTGGGTGCCGCGCTTCCCCTCCTTTCGCTCTCGGTGAAAGCCCACAGTCTCTCTGCCTCTCCGCCGGACGGACTTCCCCCGTTTAATGCAGGTGTGGCCGCGCACGGCGACAGGGGACGCTGATGGGAGGGGACAGAGAGTCAGCGAATCGACCTCCGCACTGCCGTGGGTCCCCAGAGGGAAACCAGCACATGAAACGAAGGACGGCTGCTCCTGATAAATAAAAGATTCACTGTGATTGTGGTGGAGGGCTGTCAGGTTTACAGAGTAGTATTGGTTTAACCCTTCCAGTCCACAAGGAGGCGAAAAGTCTGCTGATCAATAGATTAATCAATAACTGTAGCTAGTGTTAACAGATTGATATAATATTAATCTAACTGATTAACATTAGGGCTATAAGGCGGTGCACTTGTTGTTTTTCTGCCATTCATCACTTAGCAGTGACATAACGTGATTGATTCTGAGACAGAAAGCAAATTTCTGAGCAATTTCTATTGCTGCTCCTGTGGAACTCTCCATCATGCTGATGTTTGTGCGCTATTGAGCGCTTTAACCCTGTATGGTGTTCGGGTCTGTGAGACCCGTTTTCAGTTTTTCTCAAAAGAAAAATTAAACAATTAATTATTTTTTCAACCTGAAATTCATTGGCTTTGGCTTATTTTCTGTGAAGAACATAAACTAATTTTCAATGACCTCATACTGTACCTCCCCCCACACATTTACATTACATACAAGGTGTTCGGGTCCACTGGACCCAGGTCTAATAAAAGTGTTGAAAGTGTAGGTCCTGTGTTCCCACACTCTGTCTTCCTCCTTTCTGGTGCTGCTGATAGTGATTTCCTCCCCTCCTGCTCCCACACAAAGTTGCAACATTGTTGAAAATTCAACTATCAACACCGTCCGCTCTTACATTCCCGCACATTTTACCCTCTTTCTTGAGGGATCCAAATTTTATTTTCTCATACCCTGTCCCACCTGCAAATTAGGGGCATAATACTATAAATAAGACTTTGCCAGTGTGGTTCTTTATCACAACTGATCAAGATGGCAAAAGATTATCTGCTGCGAGGGCCATCCAATTGATTTTGGAAGAGAGAGAGGCTTCGGATGATGATGTTGACAAAGAGGTTTCAGAATATTTCACATTTCTGAGTCTGACAGTGACTTTGAAGAAGAGGATGAGGTTGAGCACCATTTAGTAACAAAACGAAGACGAGCACCCCATCTGCTGCCAGCTCCAGGACCAGAACAAGCCCACCAGACAGCAAGTGAAGAAATATGGATGTCAATAACTGGTGAAATTAAATGGTCTTCTTGCCCAAGAAATGGGCCACCCTGCAGAGCTGTTACTGTGATAAGCCAGGGCCAACACGGCTGACAGTTACTCATGTGCAGGACATCAAGTCTTCATTTGAGCTTTTCATCCCAGATTCCATCCAGAAAATTATTCTGGATTGCAGTAATCTAGAAGGAAGGTGTGTTTTTGGAGAGAGGTGGAAGGAGATGGAACAAATTCATCTAAGAACCCCAAAGGCCTACTTTGGGGTTCTTATCCTTGCAGGAGTTTTCAGGTCCAAAGGGGAATCCACAGAATCCCTGTGGGATGCAGAAACCGGCAAGAACCTTTCCGTGCATCAATGTCTCTGGAAAACTTCCACAAAATTTCCAGGATTATCCGTTATGATAACCGAGACGACAGACCAGCTCGACGGCAGTGAGATAAGCTAGCTGCCATCAGGACAGTGTGGGATAAGTGTGTGCGCCACCTCCCCCTGTTTTACAAACCTGGGCCAAATGTCACCATTGATGAGCAGCTGATCCCATTTAGTTGTGAAACATATTGCTTCACGTGTAAATGTGTTGTGTCTTTCCACTCACTCCACTTGATTACAACTGATTTATTTTTTTTATAACATTTTATAAAAAAAAAAACAAAAACAAAAAAAAACGAGAAGCACATTAATTCATAAATGTGATCTAACAAAGGTAAAGGGAAAAAAATTAACAATGTTTACTATTCATATGTCTTGTAATTGGGATGAAGTAAACATCTGTTGAGTAATTTAACATAAAATTGTTTGATAGTGTTAATTTGGAAAGCCAAAACTCTAGCGGGTCCACCAGACCCATGAACACTGGCTGAGTAACAAAAATATGAACACCACACAAGGGTTAATAGATTGTTTTAGCAACTGCGTCTATGATAGTTGGTCTTCTTAGAAAAACAATATCTGTTGTGTTTTCCATGTATCCAGCCTATATAAGTTTAAATCCATACCTATTCTTATAACGTGTTTGGCATATATGGATGTGTATGTGTCTGTACCCCCCATCACCACAGTTTCTGCCCACAGAAACTAAAAAGACTGATTCGACTTATCTGCTAAAGCGTGGTCAGGCTGGGAAGCTGGGATCAGATAAAAGGCCAGATCTGTGTAGTTTATTGGCATGCAAAAAAAAAAAAAAAAAAAAATTTGTGTTATTATACTGTGACATGTCCTTCTCTTGTACAATTTATTCCACTTAAAGGCCCCATGAAATGACAGAGTCAAGCAAGAATAATACACTCTGGTTACAGTTTTACACCTCGAGCCAAAAACCTGCTTCACATTCTTAAATAGAACTACTACGGGTGATATGGTGCATTTACAAGTACTAAACAATTAAAGTAAGTAACATTACATTTCTATAGCATCTTTCAAGATGCATTTAAAAAAAGGATAAAAAAATAAGATTAAAACATCCTTAAAGAAAGACGAACGATGCTCCAATTTTATTACTTTTTATTATTTTCAAATGTTTCAGATGGCTATGCCAAAGTCCAGACAGGCAAATTCAGATTTGACCTTTGGCCTTCAGCTTTTTCACGTGTCTTGAAGTAAAACTCATTTGCCCATACTTCCAGTTTATATTCAAAGCACAACATCATTTGATTCTTCTAATAAAAGAAACTTCCAGAGCCAGAAAACTCATGTGTTTGGTTTGTTTGTGTGGACGTCTGGGAGCTACATCCACGTAGATCACATCTTACGGCACTGCACTAAACTGGTGCCTCTCCTCATCTGTTGATCATTTGGAGTCTGGATCATATTCACACATCTGCAGGTTTCCTTCCTGCAGCACAGTCTTCATTGCATTCGATATTTTCATCCTCTTCAGGGCCACATTCCAAAATTAGATCAAGTGCTTCATTCACAGTTAGTCACTCACGTACTGTGGTGCTACCACAGACTGTCATGTGCACGGAGAGAAGTATTATTTTTAGACCAAAGATACAGGAGCTGATTAGAGTAGATGTGTTGGATGGATACCATAGAGCAAGAGAGTGAACATGGGAGTGGAGCTATATCCAAGGACCCTTATTATCTTTTCATCTGTACATTATACATACCTGAACATCAGACTGTGTTGCCAACAATTTGTTCAAACAAAGTTTTTGTTTGTTTTTTTGCATACTACTTCACAGTGAGTTGTTCCTTCTGATAAATAGCCTCGTTGTGATATAACACATTGAGCATAGCATCTCTGACACAAAGGAGATTATTGGGTGATTTCTTTGAGGGGGAGGGGCTTTGCCAAGAGTAACTATAATCCATTTATATCGTTTGTAGCCTAGTGATGCCCCATAAATTGGATAATACAGAAAAAAACATTTTATGCCTCTTGTGGAAATAAAAACAAAAAAGAAGAGTAAAATGATTTCATTACAAAAATAAAAGTGAAAACGTAGTGTCACCATCACTAATGTTCAGACTTGGTGTCCTGTGATGAATTACCTCTATGGCTGCAATATTAGAGTTTAGTACAATTTTATTTGTTTCCTTTTCCATTTGGCAATGTCATTCTTTGGATTAGTTCAATGTCTGATGTGTAATATGTTAGAATGTTAGAAAAAATCAAGCTGTCTGTGCATGACACAAGCACAAATCATGTTAAAGAATAGGCCATCCATCCATGTAATTAGTCGCTTATCCAGTTCAGGGTCGGTGGAGATATGGAGCCTATCCCAGCTCTCATAGGGTGAGAGGTGAGGTACACCTCGGACAGATTTCCAGTCCATCACAGGGCTAAAGCAGAGAGACAGCCATAGAATTGCCAGTTAACCTTAGAAACATATCTTTGGACTGTAGAAGGAAGGCACTATGCAGGCACAGGGAGAACAATCTCCACGCAGAAAGGCCCTGCCAGGATTGACCCCTAGGACCTGTGAGGCAACTGCAGATGAATGTCAGTTTTAAAACATCACATTTGACGTTTTAACCAAAGTCTAGATGTGACAAGGTTTATTTAGTTATTGTGCTGTTATCATGAATACAGTTTTTTACATTTTGGTTTGATAGTGTCAGAGTAAATGGTATAATCTCACCAGAACTGGAGGGGTTCATCACTTTCATGTCACTCTAACCAGTGTATTTCCAGAGCTTAAAGTCTGGCACACTGACATGGCCACGCTTAAAAAGATATTCTATAACAATAATAATAATAATAATAATAACAGTAATAATCCAGCTAGATGGGAACATTCCCAGATGTTACTTTTTCAAAAAACAAATATTGTAATTAGATTTTCAAAGAACTTTACCCAGATGTTTAATAATGTTCCTGTAAGGTCAAAAGTTTAACTAAGCTATAGCATTGCTACGAGGCAGCAGTGGCAATAACCGCACCACCCTGCCACCGCCAGAAGAAATCACAAATGTATTAATATTTTAGGTTGTTTTGGGTTACACTGTCAGACCTCTGGTGCAGCTAAAGATGTTGTTTGTGTATGTGTGAGTTTCCCTTTCACTTTGGCTGTAGTAAAGAGATTTTGTTCTCTGTCTAAGGGGACAATTTACTCTTTCAGTGTATCGGGCTCCAGCTAAAAAGTGTCTGCCAAGCTAAACACAATTTTGAAGCTAAACATTCAAAAAACTAAAAATCTGTTGTTTTGCATTTCCAAATAGTAGCGCTGGGTGATGTGTCAACCCAGCACAGCACTGTGTTGCTGTTGATCCAACCAGCACACTCACTCTGGGAGGTAAAGGGGCTGTAGTGGGGGGTAACAGACAAAAACAAAA